AGCCAGATATAAGCCTATAAAAATGCCGCTTATAAAGGATTTTTTTAAATTACTTTTAAATAACTTTAATAACAATCTAATCAGTTTTTAATATGATAAATTCTATTAACTTAGACTCTTCTCTACCTTAAAATATTGTTTTTGCAACTAATTCTGCATTTTGAGGTTGCCAAGATTCGAACAACTTGTACACAGACATTAGTGTTCATATCTTCAACACTCAGTATGCTACAAACAGAATAAACTTGGTCAGCTTGCAGATTAAGCTAAAAAATATTCTCGTGTAGGTAAAATGAACCATTGTGGCTCTGTGTTAAAAAAATCATCTGTTTAAACTGAGGTTGAAACGACGCTTATTTATTTATCAGTTGATAAGCACTCATAAACACACTTTATGTACAATTACTTTGATATTAAAATGTATTATGTCTTATTTTTTTATTGAAGCATTCAATTTTGCCATTGAAAGAATAGTAATTCTTACGCTATCTTCAACTTTTTAGGAGGATTTTAGCTAAAATCGAGTTCCATGTTGAAATCTGGAAATTAAGCTATATTTTACGAGTTTTTTAGTCGCCCTCATCGTTTTATATATTAGCTTTAACAGATTTAACAGTCAAGCTTAAAAATCTTCACAGTTCAAAGGGGGTACGCTTCTTTAATTTCCGCATTGCTTGATTTGAAAAATATTTCAAAATTAGATTGGGATTTCAACCCAACGCGTTCGAAAACGGCTCCTCTCCACACGTTTCATATGCAAAATTACCATATAGTTTACATTTTGATTTGTACAATTTCTTGATTGTCTATACATATCTTATAGTACAATTCATTTTTTTCGAAAACAGTGAGAGGGTTCCAATTCTGATGTCATATTTGGCCTTTTGGGACGATAATAGCTGAAAGAGCATACTACTTATGTCTTCCAAAAAATATTTTTTTTTAAAACCAACAATGTTTCTATAGAAAACCGAATTCTTTGGCTTAGAGTGGCAATTTATTTTCGAAGTGTGATGAAACATCATACTCGCTTAAATCCTCGCTGGAGGATTAAATTCACACTTGTTGAAAACGATGATACAATATTGCAAACGGAATAAAAGAAGTTTAAAGTTGTATTTGAGTTATCAAAAAGAGAGCAATTTATCCGAAAATGTATAGATGGGGCGCTAATTTTGTCCATCAGTGTAGTTCGAGCTTCCGAATATTTAAATTTTACTTTCCCCAACATTTTCTGGAGTTCAACAAGTTCACCACTTGTATTGACGATTTTTCTTAATAGTTATCTTTTTTTTTAATGCCTTTAAATTCTCTGTTCGTGTTTTACCAACTGTTTTTGAACCTCATCTACGTAGTTCGTTGTCGTTCTTTTCAGCTTATTTAGTCTCGTATCTCTTTAGAAACTTAGATACTTTTTAGAAAAATATTTAAGTATGTTAAGCAACCGTAATTGCAAAACAGTCTTAGCCCACAACACTAAGCACTTTTTCGTTTTGATAAGCTGATTTTCATAAGTTGCACAAACTTATGTGAAATGAAGAGTTTCAAATTGGAACAACAGGAGTCCTTATCAAGATACGCAAAAACACTTTTTTTAAAATAACCTAAGCAAAGGTGTGTACTACTGTTTGCAAAAATATTCCCATAAACTCACAAAGACTTTCAAAGAAAAATTTATGGTAACAATGATTAGATTGAATTTCGTTCGTGTATACCGTTCGTATTTAAGATGAACTGAAATGAGAGACCATTTGTTATTCATTCCATAATGTATTTTTATTACTCCGGAACGGATGCCGAGGGGTAGGTAATATCGATCGGTCGTTAATAGAGCGGAAAATACTGATGGCAAAATATTGACATAACAGATTAACTGGAATTAAGATGATCAATTGCCTAATAGGCTTTCATTTTATTTTCAAGTAGGTTGAGCCGCACAATTATATTTAGTGAAATTTGAGATGTTTTGAAAATGCTAATGCGAATATCATATAAGTAATGGTTTGGCAGAACTGTTGGATGCAATATCAAATTAATACTTTGTAAAGTACAATTTTATATGGAATTTTAACTAATTTAAATTTAAATTAATTGTTTTTTTATTTTTATTTTTAAGTTACACTTACACAATAAAAGTTTTTTAGTTTAATAACGGATATTCTGATGAATTAAATGACGATCTACTCGCAGTGGGTCGAAACTTTGATGTATACGTCTGAATACATTTTGTATTAGTAACCCTTAAATGCCAGACATAAATTATAACGTAGTTATTATTCAATTTGGGCCATGTCCATTAAATAATGCCATATATCTAGTATGTCAAATGTTAAAACACTTTATATAGAAGGTAGAAATGCCTCACTTCTATCTCTGACTTGATTATGTATTTATAAGGCATGTCATGCTTTCAAGGAGGAATGTAAAGAGTATACCTGGACGGTTTATATGATTGAGGCAACTTCAAAATTTGTTTTACTTCTAATATTGTAATAAAAATATGGACTTAAAAATATATATGGGTTTGTTGAGTTGAGGAAAATGGGGACGTTTTTCCTTTTTTTTTATTATTCAATGTAAAACCGACCATTGTGAAAATGGTGTCAAGCACAATTCTTACTAAACTAAAATTGAATCATATCGTACCCTATAAACATATGTTAAGATTATTAGAATATATTTTTTTAAACTTATAATATATTTTTTTTCATTTCCACATAACTGCAATACTGATTCGTTTGAGACAATTTAAATGAATTACACTTATCTTTCAAGTTGCGGAAAACGGTGCTAATTGACTTGCCGATCAAAATATACTATACTATCTACTAAATATGGGTTTTTACGTTATTAACAAAATTCCTCAATAAGTTGACTAATAGAAGAGTAGTCTAGATTAGAAATAGACACCTTTCCGGGTACTTCATTTGGCCCTTTTTCCAAACGACTAGTTTGGAATTGGATGATTCTAATTCTGTTTACACCAATTTATGTATATGTTACAGACCGTATGTGTGTACCTACATCAGATGCGAAAAAAAAGGTGTACATTGTAGGAAAAAAATATAGAACTGAAAATGCAAGAGAACAAACAGAATATAAAATAAATTATAAATTGGTGGTCCGCAACTTTGAAGAATTTCGACTAATTTCAGCTTAACCCGTAATTTTCAGAAACCACTGGATATGTGGTTTTTTTAACCAATGAAATAATGCGGCTGCAGTGAATAAAGGAAAATAATTCATTTGTACAAAGATTCACAGTATTTGAAAAACACATGTTAGCATTAAATAAACCAAATTGAATTGTTTGGGGAACGGAAGTGAGAATTTTTTTAGCCGCATTCTTTTTTAAGATTTCGAAGTATATTTTGCTTTCTTACGCCTATGCTTAAAATATAATTATTTTAAACGCACATGTGCGCAAAAGTAAATGTGACAAATTGAACCTGTCACTGTTATTATATTTTTTAAAGTATGCTTTTTCAATTAATTACGTAGGTTTCTCGACAACTATTGATTATAATCTAAAGTTTACTTTCAATTTCTAAATTATAACTTTGTTACAAGTTCAGTCTCAAAGTGGTTCAAATAGTCTATTTTTCTGTGCTCGCCGATGTTGCCACACACAAAACACGATTTTTTAAATAGCGCAAATTTCATGCCAAATATGCATCTTATACAAACACCATACCGTGAAAGCAGCACTTGAATTTTCAGCACTCATTGTTTCAGTTGTATTTATATGCTTGCAAAAATACGCTTTTGAAAAATATTACAAACGTTAAAATTTGACAATTTCAAAAATGTCATTGACATCAGATTTAAAATATAAAGTTGATGGCTTTTATTTTTGGTTATTCTTATTTATTATAACTTATGATTCGTGTTATGTTTTTCATTCGAATAAAAAATGTTCGATACAAGGGCATAAATCCGTTTTTAGAACTCCTGACGGATTGACATGAGTCGTAGTAGTTTGAAAAACGACACTTTACGCCCTTGTATCGAAAACTACTATTTGTCTTATCCCGTAGAGAGCTGTTTTCGATTTGTTGAATATTTACTTGATTTTTAGATTTCTAATTTATTAGTATATTTCTAATATCACCCGTATTTCTTGTCTGACAGCAACTAACAGAAAGTGAACAAGTTGCTAAACGTCAAATTACTCGTTGTCGAGTCACAGTTGAGATATGTCAGGCTGGTTTATTTATTGGAGTTTATGACATTTATAACATAAAACAATCTTACACACTTTTCGATATGTTTCTTTTCCTTTAAAAGCTTGCAAAAGTTTATTAGAGCAAAACAAATTACAGTCAGATGTAAACATTAATGCCAACTAAACAGTGTCAAATTACTACTTAACTTGTAGTTATAATTTTAACCACTAGGGGGCGTCTGGACTTTTGAACTCGCAAATATTACGGTACAAGATTTGAAAATGTTTCTTCTTAAAAATATGACAAAATGAATTAGGTTATTTGAATAAACTGGATGGAAAATCGTATGATTTACTATTAAAAAATTAAAATGAAAATATATTTGGTATGAATTTATGCCAAGTTGCGTGTTCTCAAGGCGTATTAAGTTTGCATGCTTTAAAATTTCTTTTAAAAGGAAATCTTTAACATCAGATTTTTTTTGGAATCAACAATTTGACAAGCAATTTGAACAAATGTATTTGTTTTGCAGATTCCAAACCGAGAGTGTGCTTAACAGAAGAATGCGTTAGAACCGGTAAGTAAATCCAATGTTTTGCTTAATTCAGAGATTTTCTGTGTTGCGGTCAAAAATCAATCAACGATCCCAAATAATTCTAAATACTTGAGACTTGCGATCTAATTTGTAACAAAAAATTGCTAAAACAAAGTCATAGTTTAAATCTAGTTTTCGTTGCGTTTAATTTTGCCCCAGTCGCATTATTGAGTAGTAAATTAGTATCGGTTATTTGTAGGTGCCCAATTTTTTCTCCACTTACTATTTAGTGTGTGTGATAGATTATGAATTTGTCTATTAATAATTTGCCGACAATTACTAACTGTGAACTATGAAAGTGCTGTTTAATTAATTTATGTGAAGATATTTGTAAAATATTCATATGAAGGAAAAATTTAATTAAAAAAATAGGTAGAGCATAACCAGACATTATTATTGAAAATTTTTTGAAAATATGACAAGTAAATTTTGCAGACACTCATTTTAAAAAATGTTGGATTATTGAAAGGCACAAAAATATTTTATACTGTTTTACCTGCTTTCCCTATTTTCTTTCTGGGGACGATAAAGCTTGAACGGAAATCTATGTTACCGATTTAGAACACTTCGGTTGGCAGATAAAAAGTCGCCAAATTTTTTAAATTCATTTTAAGGCAAGGTTTAGCTAATATTATGGCTCAATTATAGTATGCTTGTTGGATAATTGTGTAAACACATAATGGAAATGTGTTAAATAGATAATAATAGATATGTTTTAACGAAAATGTTAAATTGCATTAAATTTTGTGTAGCTTTGGAACTGGCTCTTTGAGAACTTGATTAGAGCGATGGTTCCGAGAATATTCCACGGCCTTATAGATTCTTCGCTAAATTGAATGCAGGTCTAAGTGAGCACCTAACAAATTAACGAACAGTTTTAGCCAAGTTTTTTGGTTCTCTCTACGCAAAACGCATTATTTTCTAGTTTTTCTTAAAAATACTGACAATTTTCAGAACAGACAGACAGAGATGAAATAAATTTTATTAGAATACTCGCCTCCTTCATCCCATTGTAAAAAGTTTCGAAATTCTTTCCAGCCTCGAATTTGGCAAACAAGAATCAAACAATTTTCTATCAAAAAACGAACGGAATCAGCGAAAGTTTATAATAAATTATTTGGAAAACTCGTCACCTCTATTCCTCTGAAGACTGTAGAGCTTAGCTAAAAATGTGTTTTTTTTAGGTATCTACTGATTTTTTTTGCTTTACCTTCCACTTAAAAGCGCTCTATTTTGTAGCGTTTCACTTAAAAATACTGACGATCTGGAGGTATTTTACACGAATAATGACAAGATGAATGTATAGCTTTGTAGGAATTTTACAAAAACGTTTTTCAGCGTCGAATTTGGGACAAAAACGGAAAAAAATTTCTGCCGTTTTTTCTCGAAAGATTTTCAGATTATTAAGATTTTAGCAAAAACGCAAAAAAACATAATTTTGTGATGATTTTCTTCTTTACTGACCATAATGCGGTCTTTGCAGCAAAAAATGACAAAATTAATTTTTTCCCGAAAATTCGCCTCATTCTTCGGTTTGTAGCGAACTTTATAAAACTCTTTTCAGCTTCGAATTTGGCCCAAAAACCAATTAATTTTATTCACTTCTTTACCGAAAGTAATTAAGATTATCTTGAAAAAAACGGACAGAGCCAAAGTTTCGAAAAAAATTACTTGGAAAATTTGCCACTCTTATCGATCTGAAGATTTTTCAAGTTTCTTTAAAATTTTAGTTTTAGTTTTACTTAAAATACTCACAATCTTCAGGTAATTTCTGTGAAAATTATAAAATACATTTTATTGAAACACGGCTCCTGAACAGCTTGGTACATTTTTTCTGGAACTTTTGCGCCTTCGAATTTTGGATAAAACCATAATAATTTTTCCTGCATTTTTTCGCAAAAATATTTCCCCGAACAGAACAAGTCAAAGGTGTTTATGCGAAAAAGTTAAAAGATGGATTTTACAAGAAAAGTCGTCGTCTTTACAGTTTGGTCTTCTTTATCGTCTTTTTCGAATCCTCGTTTTACCTTTGAATTTGGGACAAAATCGAAGCAAAGTTATCTTGTTTGTTTTTCACAAAATTTAGGTTTCTCAAAAAACGACCAGAGAAAGCAAAAGCATATAACCAATATTTGGAAAACTCGTCATCTTCATCGCTCTGAAATGTTTTAAAGTTTCTTCAAAATCTCCGAATTTTCTCGTTTTAGACCAAATAGTTTCAAGCAATCGTAAGTGCAAAAGGAATATGTTGAGGGCTTTCTTTTGTTAGGAGCTAAAATTTCGCCACTGGCCATGAGTTATAACTCATTCACCAATGGGTTAAAACTCATTAACTCAGAGAGCGGCAACAACTCAAAAGCGCAAGTCAAGACAGTGTTTCCCAGGGCTAACTCAGAATATCGTCTTGCGGCGTTCGTTTTGCACATTTTCGGAATTGTTTTGGTAACATTGAATACGTTGTTTGTTTTCTTCAATTTCAATCATGTTGGGTGGTTTCAAAATTCTTGTACTTATAGAGTTATTTTTGCGAATATACAAAATTGTAAGAAAAGTATGTTGAAGATCTTTTTATAATTAACAGTTTTGTAACTTTTATTTGACTGCGGTTGTTAGCTGTTCATCGTATCGTTATTAAGCAATTTCTTAGTTTTCTGTTGCTTTTCACAAAAATTTCTTAAAGGTGAACTGTAAACATGTATAACTCTGTCTGCTAGTCGTAATGCTATTATCTTTTATACCTTTCAGGCGGATATAATTTATAATTCGAGCGTCTTTCAGCTGTAATAAAGACAAACGCAATAACATTCTAATAACATTTCATCGTCTCGTCTGGAACTAGGTTGAAGATCAGTAATAAAATTTTCCTAACGTAAGATATGCTTCAAGTTTGAACTATTATCGAAACGGAAATTAAGCTGCTCTAACTAGCGTATTTTACGATGAATCGTTGAAAATGACTTTTCATTTTCTCTAAGGGACCGCACTGCCCTGTGGAAACTAAATTTAACTTTGTATTCAGGGTATAATAGACTATTAAGAGGAAACATCGGTTGGTTGTAATTAAGTTTGCGTAGACATTGCCGGCATATACTCGTCAACGTTAACAAGATTGTTTCAACAATCAAGTGGGAACGTGAAAGGACTTTAGTCAGTTACAAAGATACGAACTAAAACTAAATTGTACCGACTGACAATTTGCTTTAAATTGTTCAGAAAATTCTTTCACAAAGTGGCAACTAAATCACATTATAGCACTTCTGGTAAAAAATTATTTTTTTAATGCAGACATGTTGAAATAGTTAATAAAAAAAAATGGAGAACTAGTCACGCACAAGTGTGAGCAACATGCGATGTAGTAAATATTCTGCTATCTGAATAAAATGTGTATTTATTTACACGAATTTGCATCAATATATGTATTATAGAATGCTTAGAGGATTATAGAGGAATTTGTAAAACTTATAGATATGCATAGGCGATAATTCTATTTATATTTTCTTCTAATTAAAGTTATATAAATTTTAAAGGCGGGAAATATTATTTGAATTCCTAGTGTTTCTATTCTATATCTCATTATCTCATTTTGAAATATTTTCAATTTCCACAACGTCTCAGTTTCCAAAAGAAAATGATGGTCCAGTTACAACTGGAGAAAATGTGCTTTGACTGAGCCACATGAAACTATAGGTACAACTACGCTATATGTTTTCCGGTCGCAAAGTGTCAATAGCGCAATTTGAGAGCCAAATAGGGCTCAATTGCCCCAGTTTTAACATGAATATTCATCACTTTCGAACTTTTTGCACAGGAAATTAACTGTCGAGCTGTCATGCCGCGATCGAGAATGGTTCAATCGCCTCCAATCTGCACGTTTTCATTAGTGAGTAATTTTGATTACACAAATCTTGCGAGATTTCGTTTAGATCCAGCCAAAGTTGATTGTAAATTAATTGAAATGACTGATGATACCAGTACACGTAATATTCGTGTAATAATTGGGGTTTTGTGAAAATGTTTCAGTTGGTTTGGATTTTTTTTTTGAAATTGTTAATAAATAAGTTATTTTCCAAATATTTTCTAATTGAAAAATGGCAAAATTTTAAATAGTTAGAAAGATTAAAAATATGCCAGTTCATTGGAGGTACTTGCCATTTGAAAATACAAACTTAAACTGTTGTGCTTAATTTTCCAACTTTTGCATCTTGATTTATTTAGTTTTTAAACTTTTTTTGACAAATTTTCTTTCTTACTATTACTCAAATGTTACTAAGTTTCGAATGAACAGTTTTTAGTGGCTAAGCCACCTACCTTTAAATTTTGTTATTTTAAGTCAAATGAATACAAGTTTTCTCATCAAAGTTGTTGCTTCAGCCATTTAATTTGATAATAGCGGCTTTATAGGGAAAGTATATTTATTTGTCGAGTGTTTTATAACGCGGGCAAAGTGAAGAAAAGAGCCAGAAATTTCAACCATTTTTTTATTGAAAAAGTAGCAATGTTTTAGTTTAACTAAAGCCTATGCTTTTGCTATTATATATTTTTTCTCTGGGAACAGACAGAATTTTAATTTATAAAATAGCTGATAGTTTTACGATTATGTTTGATTTTAAATAAAGGTTTTAAGCATAGCCTCCCTGGGTATGACTTAAAGCTCCCTGATTGTATGACTGTGAAAAAGAGAAAAAAGGGATACATGTACGTATATGCATTTTGCATGTTGCGTTTTGTCAGACTATTTTTCAAATTACTAGAAAAATCTGGAATTATTAAACCACATTTTTTCGATAAGATATGCACGCAACGCGTTCTTACTACAAGTAAATTAATTATATTAGATTACATCTCTCTCAAGACTAGTATAGCAACTTTTCTGTGTGTTTTTTTAAGAAAATATCTCAGTTTTGAACTTCCGTATTATCTACGTGTTTGGTAAGTAGAAGCATTTCTTTCTTGGGGGTGATAGTGCAAGTAATTTAGGATACACTTTGTTAATATACCGTGTTCCGAAAACGCTTAGTTTCCGATCAACAGGGTGATAAAGTTTTAATAAAAAAAATGTTACTTATTAATATTGCGGAAACTGCTGGGAATATTTAAACCAAATTTTACAGGCTTAGGCTCTAAACAACAATACATGTTTTGTGATGAAAATTTTTGTTTCTAGCTTTTCCAGTGGCGTGGGCGCAAGCACGACTGTAGATAATTTTAAATAAAAAAATGTTTTTCCACTGATTTTTTAAGCAATAAACCTGATGATTCAAATTCCTGTTTAACTTGGAATGGACAAGGTCTCATTACTTTTTTTTACCAGGTCCCATTTTGGACTAAATAAATCAAAATCGATTTATTGCATAACTTAATCGGGTTGCAATTAAGTAGGGTTTAATATAAAAAATTGTGCTCTTACATTGTGTCAATTTTATTACAAAAATAACTCAAAAAGAAGTTAGTCAGACATTCGAAATGACAGCGATTATTAATTTTTTTCAATCAGTGACCATAACTAGTGCAAAGCCAACACTTTAAATAAAAACCCGATTACGCTGGGCAATAAATCAATATTAATTTTTTCACTCAAAAATGGTGCGTTGTAGAAAAAAAGTTAAGAGACCTTTTCTCTTCCAAATTGAACAGAAATTTGAATCATCAGGTTTATTGCTTAAAAAATCAGTGGCGTAACATTTGTTTATTTTAAATTATCTACAGACGTGCCTCTGCTCACGCTACTGGCGAAGCTAAAAACAAAATTTGTATCACAAAACATGTATTCCTGTTAAGTACCTAAGTCTATAAAATGTCACTAAATATTCCATGGGGTTTCCACAAGATTAAAAAATATCATTTTACACGCTGAGATAGAATTCTAAGAGTTTTCGGTATATGGTCTATGAAAGAAATTTATCCAAAATTACGTGGACCTCGTATCACATCCTACAAGGAATGCATCTACTTACCGAACACCCTGTATGAATATATAGAGAAAATAATCTCTTTAAAAGCCTTTAGACAAACTATCAAAATTGGATGATGTTAAATAATTATTTTTTATATTAATTATAACATTTTACAGATTTACTTGAGGATAAAAAGTATTCAGACTGTACGACAAACTTAACAGTGTTTGTTCTTTTGGGTCCATATTAGCTACTTTCTTACTAACTTATAAATTCGTCTGCAAGTAAGAATATAAGGAAATTCTTTTATTTCCAGCTTCTTCGTTACTATCAGCAATGGATCACATGGCAGATCCGTGCATAGATTTTTTCCAATATGCATGCGGAACATGGAACCGGAAGCACGTCATTCCTGAAGACCGAAGTTCGATCAGTACTTTTGAAGTTATGGCCGATCAGCTGCAAGTTATTCTTAAAGGTAAAAAAGCTGCAAAATGTTGAGCAATTATCTTTTATTGCTATTTATCCGTTCCCAGCCTTCATAAAAACGAGACTTAAATATTAATAAATCAACGACTTTTAACTACACATGCAGCTATTTAGTTTTCTACCCATATTGGATATACATAATTATGTATTTCGGAACGCCGTTTGTTTCAACTGATTTTGGCTAAAACTGGTGACATTACAAATTTAAGCGAAGCAGTATTTTTCGAAATGTTTGATTGTCGTTTTTATGTGTAAATTATAAATGAAATGGTGCATTATTCTGGACAACAAATTTGCTAACTTTGCTTTTTATTATTTCTTATTACTTTATATATTACATTATATACAAGAAAAGATGGTATTTATATATTTGGACATAAATATTTTTCACTTTCAATTGCTAAGAACCATTACGATTCCTGGAAATACTTTTGGAATTATATTTTCGTTACTCATAATGTTTGAAACATGAAACATGACTATAAAATATAAAATAAACCAAAATAAATGTCACTTATTTATTCACTCAAAAAATAAACATATTACTTTCAAATTTCAATTTGTTAGGAGTTTCAAAGTTGTGAGGACGCTAAAATATGACAAGAAGCACCTACATGAAGATTCTTACGAATTAAAGCAAATACCTTGAAGTGTCTTTTATTACATAACTTCAAATCAAAGCTGGTATTTTAAATTTTAAAGAAGTTGAGTAAAGTTATGATTTCCCAAATGATGGCTATAAAAAATGAATTTTTTCGAAAAAAATTTCCAGCAGAATAATGCTCACCTATCGACATTTTTAGCAATAAGTGATTTCTTTGGGTGCAATTTTTAGAAATTTAACTAGCAACTTTTCACATACCAAGAAATTTCGGACAATTTTTTGAATATGTTTCAGTTACTTGAAAAAACGTATAAAGGAAAAAACTGTGTAAAGGCTTCGTATTCATATATTATCTTGCTTTACTAACTCTGAAAAATTCAAGTTTACTACCACTCAAAATTTCATAAATATTACAGCCCTTAAATTCTTAGCATTTGTCTCGAATTTTGATTCAAAACTTACCTGGAAATCGTTATTAGATGTAGTAGTAGTATTTAGTGGTTTACTCATAAAACTTAAAAGCATATCACAAAATTGCAAGTTTGAACCGACAAACGTTATGATAAAAGCTAAAGTAAACTATTTTCCGGCAATAGTTTATGAGCAATTATGCTTCACTATTTGCATTTCAATGAAAATAATAAATTTTTAAGAACAGTGTTCTTACATTTTATAGATTGAATTAAATTTAATCAGTATTATCTAAAAATCTTAGAGTTTTCAAAGTATTTGATTATTTATGTAATTAAGACGATTTATTTAATTGCCTAATACAAACGTGTATGATAATCAAGGAATCGAAAATCATAATATACAAAGAATTTAAAATTCTTTATTTATAGAAAAAGCTGTCGAAGCTTAGTGGAAAAGTACAATTAAAAAAACCAATGTATGTAGACTGTAAAACTAATTGCTAAAAAGTGTGATTTAAAACATTACAAAAATCGTGTTTTATGCATATTTATACTATAAACTCAAGAAAAGCCTGTATTCAAGAAAGAACGTTTATTAAAAGCAGACAGTTAAACTTATATGCTAAAACGCTGGGAATGGTGATTTACCATCCGTTATTTATTATAATGCGATATTTATTTTCTTGCTGGTAAAAAGTATGTGGCTGAAAGGTTTACGATTTGATAAGGATTCGGCAAAACTCTACCACATATCTCAAGGGAACACTGAGTTCTGATTGCCTTCGCATATTTCTATTGGTCGTATTTCTTGGACGTTTCTTGCGAATTTCTTATATGATTTCAGATTGATTTCTCGAGAGACCCACACCCGAATAATTATTTTATTTATGTTTCGTTCAAGTTGATGTATTAAGTCTGTTCTTTCAGGGAGTTGAAACGTTCTAAATTTTCAATTTAGAATGTTCAGTTAAGAGATTTATAAATTAATATAAAAAATTCGTTTTGAGCCAATTTGGTTAACTATAAGTGTTCAGATCGATTTCTCATAAGACCGACACCAGAATAATAATTTTTTTATCTTTCGTTCAAGTTATTGTATGTACTAAGTCTATTTTTTACGTATTTGAAACTGTTCTTCAATTTAGAATGTTCAGTCGAAAATATTTAAAATACAAGATTGAGTTGATATTAATATTTTATTACTAAGGAAATTTGTTAAGGGCTAGTTAAAAATTAACCGAATTATCGTTTTCAAGTTTCAATTTCGTGTAAATTTTCTATTTATTAAGTTTTCAAACTAATTTTGCGGCTCGGTTATTTGTGAAATACGAAATAATGTGTGTTAGTTATGTTGAATTATAGCTGCGAAGAATAGTACAACAGCAATAATGTTGAACTATTAGAATATAAATAAAATATTTAAAATGTTTGCACTTTTTTCACCAGCAAGCAATTTTCAACCAGACCATTATTATTTGGCGGTCCGAAAATGCTACAAACTGCATTGTATAGATAAATGTTTCAAATCATTTCAACGGTTTCAATAAAATTTTAAGTTAAAGGCAAGAAACAAATGTATAACTCAAATACATCAGAAATTGTGAAACTATAGAAAGTTTTATTCTATGGAACTTTATTATTATTTCGCAAATATTCAAAGTGTGGATATTATTTAAGTCTATAAGTCAAACGGTTTATAATTTTCAGTTTATATATGTATATATATTTATAAAAGTATGAAAGCATTCTCGAAATTAATTTTAATACTTGATATTTTTTGAATTTTAAATCTAATGTCTTGTGATCTCCACCAATTACTGATTCCAAGTTCTTCAAAAAATGATAACTTTAACCGATTTTGGTAGTGTAGACTGCCGAATGTAAGCAATTCAAAAAAAGCTCTTAACTCTAGTTTTGTCTATTTAATGCTCAATTTAACAACAATTCTATTTTAGTTGCCGATTTGACGCAATGAAATTTGCGATTTGATATTTGATTTGAAAGCAATGAACAGTTTAGTAAAATTTACTTTAATTTGAGAGATGGTTTAACCGTATAATTATTACAGCGTTTTCAGTTTCGATTCAGGTGAAATACATAGAAATTACTGTTTTGTATAGATTTAATATTACTTAAGATTAAATATTCTTACATTCTCAAACAAATCAGAGTCAAAAGGTAAATTATTCAAAACATACACTAAAACCTGCCAAGTAAGTAATTTTAACAAAATCCAGAGGTTTATAGTTTCCAGTTTTAACTGAGATTAGCTGGTAAATCCACGTTTGACTAGGTATAACTAAAATTGATTGAATCGGTTTTCACCTAGGCATTGAGTTTAATTAAAATATACTTGTTTCGAGCTACAAAGATCCCTCTAGCTTACTTTAGGTGTTGCTGATTACTGATTATTATTTACGTGGGTTTACCTTATATTATCAACAAGAAGTTTCCATTTGTCCCTTTTTTCAGTTGAATTTACATTTTTATGGAACATGGCGTTGTTTAATGATGATAATTATATCTGATCTATATTTTTTCTGAGCGCACATAAAAAAAAATAATTATCTACCTGGGACTACACGAGTTGAAGATTTAAAAAATTATTTATAGCATTGCTTTTTTAAGTTCGTGCGATGAGTTGATCAACTTTTCAGTTCTAAAGTTCTATTCTCCAACTCTCCAGCAAGGCAATTATAATGCATCCAGTCTTTACATATATTGATGACGCAGAGTTAAAGCTTCAGCTCCATAAGCATCAGTAGTTTCAATTAAATTTCCTGCTCTAGTTGAGATTAGTTAAAATTTCGTCTCCGAATTTTTAACTAATAAGAAACTCAAACGTACTTTTAACACTAAAGTGGATGATTCAAATAGAAATATTCTCGTACAGTTCGACTGGGGCCAACGTACCAGGCAAAATTTAAGAAAACAGATTGGTGATATGCAGATATTCTGCACTTCAGATGTAAAACATTCGTTAGTTATTTCATTTTCCACAAATCAATACAATATGTAACTCATTTTTGGTCACTGGATGCGCACTAAGCTATTTTGACTTGTGTTTTTCTTGCTTTAATGTTCTCTATGAAATGTTGTTTTATTATATTTACTTATAATTGACAATATAATTATTTCATAAACATTTTTTGCCTAAGATCTAACTTTTCACTTCTATTTTATAGACTGAAATACATTTTGCTTCTACAGCTTGGGTGAGAGTTGACTAATTCTCGAAGCTGAGGTTGTAAAGAAACTCAGGAAGAAAAGTTTGAAATCACATTCTCTTATATATATATATTTCTGACTATAGAAAAGATGTGTACCAAAACACACCGGGCACCTAGACAATGCATCTCGCGTTTTAAAATACATTGGAAACATTTTTTAAATGGAATTACATGGATTTGATTCCAATTATAAAAACTTCGAATTCTGTGGAGTGGAAATTAGTTCAAACTTATAACATGCCTAAATCCGATCTTTTCCAACAAACTGTTCATTATTGTACAAATCATCATCAAATAGAATTTCATGAATTCTCTGGAGCATAATGTGTAAGAACAAATTAAGCTATTCATGACCATTCAAAGTTCCCTCGATATAATTGCAACTCACGATAAAATCGCCCATAATTCCTTTCTTTGACTGACTAAAAGTCCTGGGCAAATTGGGGTTCTTTGTAGCATTTTAAGGAAAATCGTTCCTGTTGAGGCAGTATTTCCATAAAACGTCGCTTTAAAAGAAAATCGAATACGGGAAAATATTCTGTTTGCTAATGAGACCAACTGGGTAACATTATTTTTGCTAAAGTCAAAAAGGGTAACAGAAAATTTTCTTTTGTCAACTATTTGTATGGTCTAATATTAATAAACACAAATAATTTGCCTATATTGATGGTTGATCTATAAATAAATAGCTATTGGCTTGCCAAAACTTTTCACAAACGATAGAAAATATTCGTATTCGCCCATATTCTTTTCATGTTTCGTTGTAAATAGCTCAAATATACGTAATTTTCTTACTGGTAAAAACATTCATGCTTCCACCCAAACAAAATAAATTTATTGCAAGTAAAAATCATACTTGTATTCATGAACCTGTAGTTAACATAAGTGTCAAAGTCTTTTTATCATTAGTGGCAAATTTAATTACTTTATGTGTAAATTAAAAACCATCGATATTAAATGAAATCCAAGCTTATTACGAAATTAATTATCAGTATTTCTTCTCGACTCTTCAACTTTAATTAGTAAGTAGTGAAAATTTTGTTTAGAATTAGGTTTAACTCTTCTATGTTCGAATGCATACATGTTTCCGATTTCCCATTTTTGCTCGAGTTATCCTGACAGGAAATGTCCGCTTATCAAGGAAGACTAAGTAAGTAAGTAATCGGCATATCCATTGCACAGTAATAATTTTCTACTTGTACGTATTTTTCGGAAGTAAACTAATTTATTTCGTCCTATACATGTTAACGGAGTTTAGCGGAGTTAAATCTGGGCTTCTAGATGGTCATGACACAATCAAGAAAATAAATTAACCGGCTTGATTAAAAATTAGGTTTTAACTAAATTTTATCCGCATATGTAATAGAGCCATGTAATCAATAAGAATACTATTTTTCTTATTCTTCTATTCTTGCTGATTTAAGATCATTGCTGGTTGGTGATAATGCTTTTTCATTTAGCTTAGATTCGTTGGCCCACAATTTTCAACTTTATTCAACGAAAAAGACGAATTTTCACATCGATGTTGACATTAATTGATCGAAGTACAAAATGAAAACAGGCTGACTCGAATGTACTTGGGTTTTAAAAAAAATACATCCCAAACTGTCTGCTGCATCACGATAGTATGTCTAGTTACGTATTACTGAAAAACTGTTTAAGTCGTAAAATCTAGCTCCTACACGAACTTGTCTGTTCTATACTTTTCCGTATTCATTGTCGCTGCAATAGGAGTTGTCAAAGACACGGATTTAAGAACAATTTGTTTGAAAATCGACGCTGAAATTGTCTGTTCGATGCAGCGCTATTTCCGTCGCAAAGCCCAGAAATGTTTGTGTATTCAGCATTTTAAAACTCAGCCATTTGAGCGAACGTCTCAACTAACATAAATTTTACGAATAAATACATAAACCTGCAAAGAATGTGATCAAAAGTCCCTCAATCACACGAAATGGCACCAATTATTTCTTAAATAATTTTAATTAATTTGTAATAAAAAGCGTTGATAATAATACCCTTATACGTATTTAAATCACATGATAGATGTATTGCTGTTAAGTCTAAGCATATGAAATCTTGCTCCAAGCTAAGCGTTTTCGGAGTTACGATATAAATATTAACAAAATATATTGAAAATAACTTAACTATAACACAAACCAAACACCCTTATTTTAAATAGAATAGGGGATGGAAAATCCAAATGCAACATTTTTAATACTTGAAAAATCGCATGTAGTTAACTGTACCTAAGCGATTAATTAAAAAATATCTAGGGTCTTAATGTTATTGTATTTTTCGTTTAGAAGGCAAAAGATCTGTGTTTATTACAGTGCATTTCAGATATTCCATCGAAGTGTACGCAAATACGCTGTTCTAGTAGACATTTCAGCTCGTAACACCAGATATTATGGGAGTAATCCATTAATGACTGAATTTACAGCATTTAAAAACAATAAAATGAAAGTCAATTTGAAAATCATTTTTACGTACTGAGAACGAGATAAATATTTTAACTTTATTTTTGATAAATTGCTCTTACTTAGACAATGTACGGGGTGACCCATAAAATATACCCACAACCTAAAGCGGTTGTACACTATATCATAATAAACATTTTTGCTCTATAAACTCATGCTTAAAAAGACAACGTCGTCAAGATCCAGGAGGTTGGAGTTAGAAAATTTATTTTTATCTTCCTTTCTAACTCTTGTAGTTTTTGAGGATTTTTCCTTAAATTTGGAACGCAGGTTACGCTATGTTGCCTAGAACGTTCAATCTATCAAACGATTGTAGAAATCTACAGGATATTTTTTGAAGGGTCACGTCCACTTTTACCACTGCAAATTGTTTTGCGTAAAAAAATACATCGTTGATTTTTTTATTTTCTAATTTCCTGTTGAATTTACAAACTTTTTTGTCCCTTGCATTAAATCGTATTTGCCTTTGATTGAGAGTTGGCTCCCAAATAAGTAATTAAAGTATTAAAACGATACAAGGAGAGATCAAATTTGAGATAAACACATCAAAACTGTAAATAAAAATGGAACGGAACCTATTTTACTGGGTTCTATTACTTTTTTTATGTTATCGATTAATTATTGTCGCCCTCTATATCCAACAATACCATTAATTTGCCGAAAGTTATTACTAGGCATTGAAGAAGACATGCAACCCAGAATTTTTTGCTTTTGCTATGTAAACAGATGCCCCAAAACGCATTGTTTCCGAGATACGAGGCGTTGAAAATTGGCATTTGAAAAAAACCGTAGAAAAATTGATTGAAATTTGACACTGGGACTTTCTTAAGAACTAGTATACTTTTATGTAAAGCAACTAAATTATTTTTCTTGCCAATTTCCATAAGATGCTTCGTTTTCTATGCAAACACATGTACCTATCACTCGATGCTAATACTATCCAAGTATCCAGCCTTTTTAAAATCTAATTTAATTTTTAACACTCGGCATCTCTAGAACTCTTTTCGGTCAAAGGTTTATAAAGCAAAAAATGCTTATTTCGATTTTTTCTACCACCTCTAAGACTTTGTCGCCATATTTATGGAACGCCAATTTTTGTATTGTTACCGTTGATGAACTTACAACTCAGTTTTTTACTTTTTTCATTTCTGCAAAATACGTTTTATTAGTCAACATTCAAGTTATTCTAGCTGGTGATGAAATTAAAAAAATTGTGGCCGACTTGAAGAATCCGGAAATGGCATTTTTATTTGCAAATAAACAACATTTCTCTAAGTGTAATGGATTCTACAATATACAAAGTTTCAATCTGTTTTATTGTAATTACATTTATACGAGCGCTGGCTTACAGGTGCTTCACAAAGTAGAATGAATTGTCACGCCAACTTCTGTGTACTTTTTTAATGGAAGTTGCGCTTCAAGCCAGCTTCAAATTGGATTTTCGTTGAGAAGCTTTGAAAGTTTTAATCCGGTAGATGAACTTTGTTTTTGTCTTGTTTTAGGTGTTCTAGAAGAACCTTTAACTTTGGAGGACAACGATGCTACGAGAAAAGCCAAAACATTTTACAATACGTGCATGGACATTTGTAAGTTATTTAGCTTACCAATTAAACATAATTAAAACTGTTACAAAATTGCCGAAAACTAAATCAATCGATATTAGCGAAAGTTGCATATTACAATTGAACGGGATGAAATTTGTCAGAAGGTATCATGAATGTACAAAAATTTAAGTAGCAAACGGTTGAAACTCAATTGGAGTGTTTTTTAAATTATTATTTAAGTTTATAAATATTTATTCTCAGAAAAAACGTTTGTGTGTTGAGTGAGGCAATATACGTTCGCTTAGACGTTGAGGTTTTTTTAAGAGCGATTTAACAAAACCCAAAACTGTCTCAATTTGCAAAATTATTTGTATTTTTTGAATTTTCCTTTCAAAAGCTTTAGGGCATTTTTTTATAATTGTGCTGAAATATCAGTTTTCCAATTCCGAAAATGTGTGCAGTATCCCGAGAGATAATTATAACCGAGTTATTTTATTGTATTTCATAATCGCCAATTAGTGGTAGTTAGTGATAAGGAAAACAATTAGAAGAAGGTGGTTCTGTTTTAACCAATCCTACATAAATTCAACTTAAAAAATCAAAAATCTATTTTTCCATGTACGAATGACCCAACTAACCATGAAAACATCAAATACGATACATTTAAACATTTTTCAACATATTCTTGTTAAAAATCTTCTTGTTGCTGATCCAATATTTGGTTTTAGTCGAGTTCAACTTATTAATTTAGCTACTTTTTCATCATTGAGTCCATTCTTTTGACCACCGACTCACATTAAAAAAAAAATAATGAATCAGTTTTTCTGAATTGAAGTAGGTATAAACACTAATGAAAGGAAGTGTGCTAAGAAAATCTCCAAATGCAGTATTTTTAAAGCGAATCATCAGATAACTACACTTGTTATTTTTTCAGTTCAGATCCGTAAAGTGGGCGATCAACCTATTCGAGATGTTCTGGATTCTCTTGGTGGATGGCCGGTTACGAAAGTCGACTGGCAACCTCCCAACAGTTCTATTGAAACTCTTTTGGGTAGAATTAGAGGAGTGTACAGTGAAGGATTCCTGGTGGAACAGTGGGTGGGACCGGACGACAAGAACAGCTCCGTTAACATCATCCAGGTGCGCACAAAGTAAGAAGTGTAGGCGGTAGGTAGTACAGTTTTAACGCAATTTGTTTTTGAAAACTTCTCGCTTTAAAAGGTGTCACAGGAAATGTGAATTTTTGCCCCAGTTTTAAGAGGTGAAAATTAGATGTTTTTCAGAATTCTGAAACTTCCTAAGAAGAGCTAAAGCTGTATCTCAACAACTGCTCAACAGTACTTTTTGTAGCAAAATATTGAAGTTGCTAAAAGATTTTCCTTACCCTTGATAGTTAGTGAGATAAAAAGGTTTTCTTAATATAAGCTTTAGACTACCGACGATGACCTACTAACTAATACCAGGCAATTTCCATTAGGTATACGATTTTTTATAGCAAATTTTAACCGCCGTTCTCGGGGCAAATTCTACTCCATCGACATTCCCTTATTGACCCTTCTCGATAACTTTTAATTTGCTTGGAAGAATGTTCACCAGAAGGGAATATTGCGAGATCTAGCATAAAGAGAACAGTGAGAAAATAGTTTTGGGTTCTTAGTATTTAAAATTTGCAAAGGTGAGTTTAAAGCGAAATAGCAATCGATCAACAGTTACTTATATTATAATAGAGCACGATAAATAATAAACGGAATACTTGCAGTAATGTATAAAGCAATAGGCAAAACACAAGTGAAAAATCAGAAGCAATTGCGAAAACCACGGAAAAATAAGTAAATATAAAAATTACTTTAAACTTTTAGTATATTTCATTTTATTGCATTTCACTTTATAGAATATGGGCCAAGTGGACTTTTCTTTAAATGTAGGTCGACACAAACAACATTTAAAAGAAACTTAAAAATAAGAAAGTTGCTTCAATAATTTAAAAATGATTCCACAATATTATAGGACAGACTTTTTAAATTGCTAGCCGCCTCACAAATTTCTTATCTTTTGGCTCTTTTTATTTCTTTATTGATGTTGATGTCACATGATTTTTAACTTCTTCACAGAATAAATTGAACCTCAGCAAAGTGTTTAAACATTAAAATGGTACATGGCGATTTTCCCCTTTGAATTTGGCACAAAAACCGAATAATTTTGTTTAGTTTTTTACGGAAATTAATTGAGATTATCTCGAAAAACAAAGAGAGCAAAAGTTTACAAAAAAATATTTGGAAAATTTGCCGCCCTCATCGCTCTGAAGATGTTTAAAGCTTCTTTCAAATTTCAGGTTTTTTCAGTTTTAGCAAAATTTTTCTTACGGAATTTTTTCCCGCGGAAACCGCATTATTTTCTAGTTTCACTTTAAAATACTAACAATCTCCAGGTAAAAACTGTGAAAAATTATAAAATAAAATTTATTGGAACAGTCGCCTCCTTCACAGATTTGGAATTTTTTTTTTCCTGGAAACCTTTTCCAGCTTCGAATTTCAGACCAAACCCTAATATTTTTTTCTCTAAACAGAAAACGCCTTTTTTCCTAACGTTTTACTGCAAAATACTGGCAAACTAAAAAAAAATATTAAAAAAAAATTAAGAGGTCAGACAAGAAAACTCGTCGTCTTTATAGTTTGGGCGACGATGTCGCCTTTTTCAAATACCCGTTTTACCTTGTTTCGACTTATTTTTCTTCGTTTTGCCTTTAACTGATCCGCTGCTTTTAACTTTTACATTTAACCTTTCATCTATTTTTTAATGAAATTTACAACTTACAAATTTTAGAACTTATTTTTCATTCGACTCGCTTTATGTCTGCTACTTGTGTGTGAGTGTCATTATGTGTAAATTACCGAAAAGTTTTGTTAAAAACGGTTTCTCAAATTTTCCAACTTATAAGATAACACTTTCTATAAAAAAATATCGATCAAAGTCTACGGTCAGTAAAATAAAAGCCATGACGGCATAAAAAATGTTAATACGTACTGACAAAATATACATGGACTTACATTTCTTATTATACAAAACGGATTAATCATATTCAACTTGAAAATCCGAGAAGTGTAACAATTGCAAACCGAAAAAATTGTCAAACTTAGGTAACAAAATGATAAGTTGAATAAGGACAAAAGAAAAAGACGCCTAAAAAGTCTAGTACGAATTTTGTTTTCTTGAAAATCAATTTTATATAAAGTTAGTGCGATATACGTATAGTATAGAAATTTTCATATAATAATAAAATAAATATATTTATGAAAAACAATAAATCAATTATTGCAATTATACAATACAACAATTTTATATTGCTTCCTAAACTAACAATAATAATTTTTCTTAGAAGAAAAATAAACAAAACTCCTCAAAATTGGTTCCTTATCTTCTCATCTGTATAAGAAAAATATACGTATTTTACTATTTAGTCGATGATATTCTACTCACTGTTCTTCGATAGCCTCTTTATTTATACCAGTAAACGGGCTTGGATTTAAATGTAACAACGAGTAATAGTAAATTTAAATTGAAATAAAATAAATGACTACACAATTAATGAAATAATGTTCATTCCATTATTAATATTTTGTCGAATTAACACATTACTAATATTGAAACACAAATTAAAGTAGCAGCTGACAAAGTTAAAATTACAACTGTATCTACCAAATTAATATGCTAATTAATTACATGAAAGCTTGTTAAAATTTAGTTCAAAATATGGCAATTATTCGTCATAAAACGAATCTTCCAATTTATTTTGAACAGTCTTTAAATTAATATCTACATAAAATTGTGGATAATTGTAATTTGCAGCATTAAAATAATAAAATAATTTGACTACGTAACGAATCGTTGAATAAAAGCTTCAGCACAAACATTATTATTAATGATAATTAACTGTCTTTACTATTCATATTTTAGTCAATTATCGCGTAAAGGAAGCAATAATTTTCCCGAAAATAAAGCTGTTATAAGTAAAGATGTCAACAAATACCTTTACGGAGAAAATTGTTGCGTTTCTATTACGTTTAGAAGCTAAAAATATAAATTGTGCCCAAAAATTGATGTCGAAATCACATATCGAAGTAGAACTAGAAGAGAAAAACTTATTTTTCAACTACTGAGAAATGTTGTTCATTAAACCACACCATTTTTTCATTTCGCAGTCAACGCATCAGTACATAACAGTTTACATCTAGGGCCTAAAAATAAATTTTACAAGTCAGTTAATCCACAAAAAACTGCAAAAATCACGTAATAGTTATAATTAGTTAACACCTTATATAATTAGTTAAGAGCCATAAAGTGTTTCTTACATTGATATCAAAATGTGGGACAGAGAGTTGCCCTCGTATAATTCTAGCGGTACAAATGTTTCTTCGAAAAATTACAATTTGAAGTAACTGACTCCTGGACAAAAATCTCGCATCAGAAAAGATCGTAAAAGTTTCCCATTATTACCTCTATTTTTTTTAGGTATTTAATTATACGCGTGATATTATAATTAAATATTTTCTACTAATGTTTGACAAATTATAACGGTTTAATCCTTAAAAAAATAATAAACAGAAGGCATCAATAACGTTCAAATGCAATGAAAACCTAAACGTGTCAAAAAACGTCTCAAAAAGGAGAATTTAAATGGCAAGAATTTGAATTTAGTAGCGTGTAGGTCTTCCTCTAGCTCTTTTACTTACATTACTGCTTTACTGTTAATCAAACTTTGGAACATTCTCTTGGGGAGTATTCTCCCATTCGATAAAACAGCTTGCTCGAGTTTGTTAAGATTTACTATTCATTTTCAACTAAACTGTATTACAAATTGTCTATTGAAATATCCTGTTTTACTTATGAGGGTGAATTTGAATGTGAATATACGTGTATCACTTTCAGATGGATCAAATGGCCTTAGGATTACCGAGCAGAGATTACTATTTAAAGCAAAGTAGTGAAGGCGATCGACAAGCCTATCATAAGTACATGACAAACATAGCGGTTCTTCTTGGGGCCAATAAAACGACCGCTAGTGATGAGTTGAAGAAAGTGATAGAGTTTGAACGAAAACTTGCCAACGTACGTACAAAATATCGTTATGCTATCATTATTTACGTTAAATAATGAGGATAATTTGATGAAAATATATTTTGCTACCGAGAATTAATCATTTTATCAACTGATAATTTTTGTCTAAGAACGTAATGTGAATGTTTTACAATCCAAGTAGTGGTGCATTAAAACTGGCACTAGTTCTATTTAAGTTTCCTACATAATTAATTAAATAAACGCCTTTACTGTTAGTTTGGCTAAAACGAGGAGGTTTTATAAACTTTTCAGGCCTCTTTGCCAGAACAAGACAGACATGATACAAGCACCATATATAGGAAGCTAAAGCTTCGAGAGTTGCAGAAAATTGTGCCTCAGATCAACTGGTTAGAGTATTTTCATTCGTTTCTGGATGCTAATATCACAGAAGATGAACCTGTAGTTCTTTACGGAATACCATATTTTGTGGAGTTGGGAAAAATTCTATCAGTAACAGACAGAAGGTAGGTATATGACTATTCTAATTATTTTTTTAATTGATCAAGTTTTCAGGCTTTGCTTTCATTTTTCTCATGTAAAAGTTTTCATGTTTATTCATATTTTGCTGACTTCTTTTCGGCGAATCACATAAAAAGAGAAGTAAAAATCCCATGAAACAACAAGCGCTCTCCCTTAGTCAGACCTCTAAAAAATATATTTTTGACAGAGTTTTAGTTTTCATTTAAAAATAGGGTTGAATATTATCTATGTAAACGTTGCGATTTTTGGGTATAGTGTTAACGAATAAGGCCTATTGGAATACTAAAATAGACAGAATACTAAAATAGGAATTTGCCAATTCCTTCTGAACCTCTAATTTGCTCTAAACAAATATTGCTTCTTATCGATAAACAAGAGTTTTTTAGTAAAAACGACGGAAATGGCTTAAATTGTCATTCGATAAGGTCATGGGTCTCCGACTCTATTTTGTGCCTCGAAATTGAATGGAACGTTAAGTGATTGCCGTTAATATTTAGTTGGCTTTTTTTAAGAAATAAAATAGGTCACTACAGAATATAATGGACACATTGGCTAGAATTGGGAGTTTTTTCATGAGGACAATGTGACAGTGTTTTAGTAAATGCGAGCAAGTTGAAATAAACAGTCAGACAAAAAATAGACCAACAACATGTTTTTTAGCTCGTTCACGTTTGGAAAATACTTTTTTAAGCGGCGTTCTGACGAGCAACCAAACCTTGTAACAAAGTTTTGATGAACGTTCTTGCGAATCATTTCACAACGTTATAGATATGGAGGTTTTAAGAACTTTTTTCTCTGACTCAGCTACATTTTCAAGAGATGGAATCAACATTGCCACAATGATCTTGTGTGCTCAACCGAAAAATTCATGCTATTCGAGAAACCATTCTTGCAGTAGGTTCTTGTTAACGTTTGGGTTGGAACAAATAATAATGAAGGTCCAATACCCTTGACGGGAATTCTAAACGGAAAACAGTAGGATGTACCGAATGTTTTTAGAGAAAGCTGTACCTGTTCTACTTAAGGACATTTCTTTTCTAATCAAAAGGTCGATGGTTTTTACATGATGGTGCAGCCTTCCATTTTGGAAGAGAAGAGAAAATTGAGTTTTGTCAGCGAAAATTATTTAAATCGATGGCTAACAAGTTTTCCTTTTTTCATGTAATGAAAAGCCTAATTAAACATTGTACAAATCAGTTGTCGTATTGAACAGATTTAATTATACGTACACTCTCTTTGTGGTTTTATTAAAATTCGGTTTTTCTAAGCTTTACTATCTTCATACTATCTATCATATACTATTTACTTATCTAGACACATAACTTTGTAAATGCGAACTTTCGATATTTTATTTCAACTGTTGTTTGCTTAAAACTGGTCCTACAATGCTCCTTTAATTTTTCATTGTTACATTAACTATTGTTCATTACTTTCATTATTGTTCATGACTTTCATCAAAACTTGCTTGTTAAAATCTCCATTTTTATACCATTTTTTAGGGCCGGTTTGTTTAATATTGCAGTTTTTTTCCAAATTTAAGCGAAATCAATGGAACTTCAAAGTCACCCGATGGTAAAATAGCCCAAAGTAAGCACGGATAACCAACTTATCAGTGCCTTCAATATTTTTAGTTGTTGTACAAATTATCAAATAAAAGTGATTTTGTTCAACTTTACATTGTTTCTAAATAATCTCAAAACTCTTAATACGCTCAAAGTTTTGGAAGAATCCTATTTTCGAAAATAACTACTCTTATACTTACTAAGTACTTACATATTTTAAAAATTTTCTTCTCTTAAAAAATGTTTGTACAAATGTAATATTTCAGTTAGATAATCAGCTATATCAGAAGCATTTTCAAATTCTAAAATATACCTACTTACGTGTATGTAAATCTAAATTTACGACTGAATGAAATTTATTACCTCGTTCCGGAAATCCCGACTCGGTATCGAAAATCTGTATCCCCTTGAAATTTAAAGGATTTGCCTAACTTATATTCCTGAAAGTCGTTTTTCATTATACCCAACAAACAATCTTCCGATATTCTTTATTGAAGATATTTAAGTTTGCTAAAATGTTTTGCTAATCCAGCAAGCCTTTTAGCATATTTTTTACACATTCCTAATTTAATTAAAAATGCCGTTTTATATCGAAGGTGTTCTCTGATGAAACACAAAGTCGGGGGTGATAAGATCCCAAAACTAGGTTATTTTCGTAAAATTTTCCTTATTTTATACGCTATTTTACATATGAATCAAAAGCATAAAATCTATCAAAGTATTCATCTAAATTTGAACTTTATCCTTGATCATATGAAATATCGAACGGTTTTGATGTAGTAGTTATATTTATTATACTTTGCTTTATAAAGAGTGTCCCATAATTAACCGCATAAATAATAAAAAAATATAATCTTCGAACAAAAACACAAGGTATTGATAATAACCGACATACACGGGTCAGTTTAAATTTTTTGAACAACATGAATGAAATGATTTAAGAGTTCACAAGATTATTAAAGTGAAAGATTTCCGGAACAAAAGTTGTTAAAAAACATACAGTGTCGTCAATATTTAGTCAAAACAATATTTAGTGCCGAAAATTCGGATTTCCAGTCCGAAATTGCCCCGACAGATTCAGTTTTATGCAAAAATAAAACATGTATTTAAGAAATTTACAAAATATTCATCTTCAACATTTTATATTCGGTTATGATCAACTTTTGTATATGGGCAAGATGAAACGTTAGTGTTTTTAGTTCAGGCATTTGTGTCTATAGCTGGCTCTAGCATATGAGAAAACAGCTAATAAATCCGTTTTCTTAGATGCGATTAAGTGGGGTAGGAGTAATATAAAAAATAAAACGATAAAACAGGATACAAAATAGATAATTCGGAATTTGATAAGATAAAATTGATAATCTGTTTTTTTTAATATATAATCTGTTAATTCCTCAATTAAAAAATTTTTGGAAAGTATCACACTTTTCTGATCTTGGCTTGGATCAATTTACAGTAATATGATAATAATTTAGTTCATGTTCCCTGGTATAAACGTGCTCTTTCCAGGATCATTCACGACTATGTACTGTGGAGACTGGTAATGTCCTTATCATCTCATTTGATCGACGATTATCAACGCGAAAGAGTAGAATTTCGCAAAATTCTACAAGGAGTGTTGAGTGAAAGACATAGATGGTCGCAGTGTGTCGAATGGACCAACAAGAAATTAGGGATGGCAGTCGGTGCTCTTTTTATCCGGGATAATTTCAATCACGATAGTAAGGTGAGTCTATTTAAGTAGCCATATTCACTTCTTTAACAAATTTATTATAAAGTCTTGGGTCAAAATCATGCGCCTATTTACGAAATAAAAAAAAATTGTTTCGAATTAAAGATTACATCTACGTGAACACGACTATTCTATTGAAGGCTATTAAGTTACTAGAAAGCAAAACATGTCTGAATATATTGAACTTTCACAATTTTATCAATATTAAAAATATCGCAGTCAGTGCGATATCTAAGTTATTACGAATATAATTATATCAACTATACTAATTACATAAATTCGATGTAATCGAATAGTTTTCGGGGCGGAAAAATAGAGTTTTTTTATTGTGCGGTATTTTTCAAAATTTGTCCATATGATACAGAGCGTGCTTTCCGCGCCGTAAGTGAAATAAATATTGGACACTTTCCCGAATTTCTTTTTAAATGCATAGTTTATTTTCATACGTAACTAGTAACCCAGGGGCCATCACAAATTAGCTTTCAAAAATTGAAATAATCATATTTTCATCCAAAACTGAAAGATAATTATTTCACAAGTTTTGAATTTTTAAACGTCGAATATGTGCGAGCGTAAGCTACATTTTTCAATTTTTTTACATAATAATCTTTTTCGGATTTCTTGTTTAACAATAAAGATTTCGTATTTAAAGGAACAATAACATAAAATAAAATACATACATAAATTAATTACTACCTATAATATGTATTTTTCACTAGTTTAGAAACATTCTGTATTTGTATTCCGTTGTATGTACATATCAAATTTAGTTTTTTTTCTATCCTTATATAAGCTCCAATTGTTGATAATCAATTTTAATTTTTTAGTCAATTTTTTAAATCAATTTATCGTTCTTCAGTTTTTAGGTCTCTGGCATGAAATCTGAAAATGAAATAAAGTCTAAATTATATTTAGGCTTTATTTAAGACAAGTAACTAAACTAAATGCAATAGCATACATATTTGTCTTGTTTCCTTTCAAAATGGTTGCAGCTGATGCAAACGAAACGTCAGGTTTGATTTGTGTTTTAGGCTCTAAAACATTTAATTTAAAATCAACCGGTTGTAAAAGTTTACATTTTTTAAATCACACTTAATAATTATTACCGGGGTTCTACAATTCACACGCTAAACTCATTATAGTAGAATTTTCTAATTAAAAAACAATTATTTATTCAAAAAGGTTTTTCACTATTTACTCTTTTATTCAGGAGACGGCTCTTCAGATGATCCACACAATACGAGAAGCTTTTAATGAGCTGCTTGCTGATAATGACTGGATGGATAATGAAACTCGAGCAGTCGCCAAAGAAAAAGCCGACGCTATGAATGAACGAATAGGCTACCCCAAGCTCATAACTACTAAAGAACAACTGAAGAAAGAATATGCTGCTGTAAGTATCTGATTAATAAATTCATTCAAACTTTTCAAGAAAAAAACACACATTTCTATTTTTAATTTTTAAAGCAAAGTATGCATATAAGTAACTTTAATAATGAATGGATTACTTTGGAATAAATGTATAGTGGATTATATCGATATACATTTATATTGTATTTTCGTCTATGTTAATTTATTTTAAATATTTGATAATATACATTAGCGTTTATTTAATAGCATTTAATAATTCAATGTATCCTCGAGAAAAGTAGTAAGTTGTAAGAGGGAGATATAGAGAGAGAATAAATTAGAGCAATTATCAAATAATAAGCCTTGTAAAAACGAAGAAAAAACTAAACACCAAAACTTCAGTAATGTTTTCATTGTTGTATAAACTCATTTATAAGTGTCGATTTTCATATCTCAAAACTACGTTTAATTTCACACATTCCAATTTCCAAGTTATTAATAGCACGGCTCTAATTGTGCTCTGAATAATCAGTACAATAGCTGATATTTTCAGTTGAACATTTCCCGAAGAGGTTTCATGAAGAATGTGTTACAAATTTTAAAATTTGAAGCCGAACAAAATTTGCAAAAATTGCGGCAGCCAGTTGACAAAGATAAATGGTCGACAGAACCAGCTGTGGTTAATGCGTTTTACAATCCCAATAAGAATGACATAGGTGAGTACATATATGGAATATTTATAGCGAAAAACGATGTGCCCCGACTTTCCAGGGTTTCCAAAATGTACGTATTCTGTTAAGCAATTTTTTCCACGAGAAACCAATTGGCAAAGGACTTGTAAGCTCGGAGTTATAGAATCTAAATTTTCTTATACAATATACAATGTGTTTTCATCCAAATATTTAAAAATTACGCAACAATTAAATGAAATTTTTAAACAGTTCCTAATATTCGTAGAAAGAAATTGAAATTCATATCGATCATATGAGAGATAATATCCAATGTACAACAAATAATTAACAATTGAGGAATTTTGCAAATAAAAATGTTTACAAGTAGATAGAATGGAACGTTTTCTGACGGAACTGAAAAACTGATTTAAAAATTTCATATGTATGCTACACAACATAAAAGTCTCACTATACCTTAAGGGAAATTTGTCTTATTAACTTCTTAAGTAAGTGACGGACTATTGCTGCTATGTACGAGACGATTTTCCTCGAATACAAATTACGAAAGAAATCAGTCCTTTGTTTTACGAGAATTCTGCACATTTTACGCAGAGACAAAACTACACAAATTTTAGAAGAACGAATTTTGCTTTCGAAATATGAGAGCAAGATCCTAATTTTAAAAGCAAATGGTATTTTACCTGAAACTTGAATCAAGCGAGAAATTAGCCGCTTGCGTTTCAAAGACCTGAGTATATTACGATTTTTTAAACATTTTTCCGGACCTTTAGGACGTTTTGTAAAATAAATTCTTATGAAAAGCTTTCAACACCATGAAATACATTGTCTTATATTTAACTAAGTGACTGCTGCTATTTGATTTGTTTAGCGAGCTGTTTCCAGTCTACGAAAAGTGGCGTTCGTTGTGTTATCAGATCCTCAATAAAATATGTATTTTTTTATAAAAACCCTATTTGAATGAGTACATGGTGATTTCATCTCGAATTTAAATTAAGAAAAAGAATCAGCCGTTTGCCATATGGCCACTTTATACACAAAAAAATTGAAGCAGTCTTTTGAGAAGAAGTAGAACTTTTTGAAGAACGAATTTTGCTTCGAAAGGTGAGAACATATGGTAATTTTACCTTGGAATTGACTCAAGCAAGAAATTAGCCGTTAGTTTTTCAAATACCTGGATACTTTATATAGATTTTTGTAAATAGAGTACAGAAATGTTTCCATGATGAAATGAAAGTCTCAGGACACGACTGCTGTTATTTGACTTGTTTAATTATATGTTTTTGAGAAGAAAGTAAGTAAAAATATCCATCTACTCGTATATTTTATCTCGAATATAAATGAAGATATAAATCAGTCCAATTGCTTCGAGAAAACTTAGACATTTTATACAGAAAAAAAAAATGTAAAGTACACAACTTTTCGAACAATGTTGATATTGAAAGATGAGAGCAAGATCCCCATTTTACAAGCGAATGGTAAATTTACTTTGAACTTGAATCAAGAGACAGATTGTTTTACAAGGACCTGGATCCGTACTACACAGTTTTGTAAAAGTACAAAAATTGACGAAAATCTAGTATGAAACTGGCGAATGTTTCGGGCTTTTAGCCCGTCGTGGTAAGGAATTTTTGTCCGAAAACAGGTCCATTGAATTTAGTTTTTCTTGAAATATATTTGCGTGTTGACTTTGCTATCATTTAGCTTCATTTGAAACATCCAGATGTGATGTGTAAATCTCACACTTGGAAATTAGAGTATTTACACATCTTTGGAAGATTTTTCGCCGATGAAACATATTTTCTCGTCGCCTTCTACTGACTTTTAAAAACTTATATTTCCAAATCATTCATGGTGATTTATATGCTTTCATCACACTGTAATTTTCAGTATTTCCTGCTGGTATCCTGCAGCCTCTGTTTTACAGCCAACATTTTCCAAAATCTTTGAATTATGGAGGAATTGGCGTAGTAATCGGCCACGAAATTACACACGGATTTGATGATAAAGGTTATTCATATCGAACATGTTCGACACTAACAGACACCGTTAATTGCCTTTGATTTTCAGGGCGGCAATTTGATAAAGATGGAAACATGATGCAATGGTGGAACAACGCGACGATACGTGCATTTCGAGACCGAGCCCAATGTATTATTGATCAATATTCCCGATATAAAATTGATGAGGTTGGCTTGTATGTTAATGGACGGATGACACAGGGTGAAAACATTGCTGATAATGGAGGCCTCAAGCAGTCGTTCAGGGTATGTATAATTTATGCGAATGTTCCCTCCTCAGTTCAAGGTTTCGTATGCAGGTGATATATTATATGTAGTGATCTACTGAACTATTATGCATGGATGAAATCACCAGGTAACGAAGCCTACTATTATAAAACAAAAATAAGTTTTTTCATACACCTCTTTAAGAGTGAAAATACATACATTAAAGTTGCGCTTTTAAAATAAATCAGAAGAAAAATTATTTCTTTTATTTTCAGTTCAGATTTGGACTCAGTACAGCTACGCGGCGTATTTAGTATGATGTAAATCAATATTCAAATTTCTGAAAAAATACGGTCATTACGACGTACTGTTAACAACAGAAATAAATAGTATGTTAATTTTTAGTTGGTTTGATCACAGTACCGAATTTATGTCTTCAATAATCAGTGGGACAAGCTAGAACTTTTTTGTATATTCTTCATAAAAAAACTTGCATGATGTTAATTCTAAAATATAAAAATCTAATACTATTTTTCTCAATTGTATAGAATACAATACAAATACTACTGGTAATATCACATAAATATACCATTAATTTTCTATAGATAAGTGAAAGTCGAGCAAGCTTTACAGAGAGATTCGCTTGATGGTTTTAGAAGTATGTATTTTCCAGATACAAAATACTTAAATTGCCTCTATATAGAAAGGCTTTTTATTGAATCATTTAATAACGTTAAAAGTTAATTATTCTTCATAAAAACTTTCATACTCTGAAAATATAAAAAAAAACCTATATTAATCTTTCAGTTGCATAGCATGCAAAGGTACCATCATATAAATAAAAAAATACACAGCATTAGAATGTAATATATTTACTATAATAAAAAATGAAATATGTATATTCAACAATGCATTCACATTCACCTGCCATGGTAAATTAGGTAAGTCCTCTATTGTTGAGGCGGATTCATTTTTCTACAAACTGCTTGTTGGGTATTTCGCAATGTAAAAAAAGTCTTAAATTATGTTTCATTTTTTCAAAGATGATTTCTATATTTCTTATATTTGCGATTTAGCAGGTCAATACGTATTCAATATTACATTACTAATACAACAAAATTGAAATGGATGTTTGCAGACTTCGTTAAATAAAGCACGCAAAATAAAACGATCATTATCGAAGTGAACCGAAATAAAAATAGATGTTTGAATATTGGTTGCAATTTTCATCGCTTTGTCTGATAACTTTTGTCCAGAATTTTAAAAATAGCTACTCCAATCTGGGCCCAAATTCATATACTTTTAGGAACCTTGTAAGTATTCAACTATTTTTTGTAAAAACGATTGTTTACTGTAAAAAAATTACATTTTATAAATCGAATACAATACAGTATTATTTTTTAATAATGGCTTGTCAAGTTAGGCTATATTTTTGAAAAAGGCGCGGAAATCATCTCTTGTATTTAAGAGATTTTTCGCTTTAGCTTAAGAATGCAAAAACGATTAAAACGATTGTTTCACACAGATCTTGGCCAATGGTAGAAATGACTGAAATGCTTCTTTCGCCAAATGTTATTTCCGTTCTCTCTTTGTCCACCAGAATTGTTGTACTTTTTGCTTTTCGAATATTCCATTTCAATATGTCCACTGTCTCGCATTTCAATCAGATATATTTTTTAAATCACTATCATTCATCGAGTGAATGTAATATGGAAATGTATCTAGTATCCATCTCTGAACTCTGGTAATATTTCCAGCAGAAAAATGTCAATTAAATGATTCGGTCTTACTGTCATGTTGCATCCTCCAAACTGTAGTGCTTTGATACTCATTAGACCAAAACGCTGTAAGATTGAAGAAATTGCATTAAAGGAAAAGCTTGTTGACACATATTGTGTTAAGATATGATGAAGAACTGACCAATTGTTTTAAAAAAGGTTGGTTTTATTTCGGGTAAATGGTTGTATAAAAGTGCCTTTAGAAGCCATTAAAAAGGTGCAAAAAATTGCTTCCAAAAATTGCGCGATTTGGACTATGAAGACGAAACTTTAATTACATGGGAAGTCATCAGGGTCCGAATTATAGAGGCTGCAAAAGAGTTTGACACTGTTCAACCTACTGGTCGAAAAATGAATGAAGATTAATGAAGTCAATGCATGAGTTGAAAATGATGAATCTTTATTACCTGTAGAAGACGAAACAGAGGATGCAATAGTGAGAACCCCGCAAAGCTGAACTCACACCTGCAGTCCCATAATTAAAGCAATGAAGAAGACGTTAAAGCTTTCAGTTTGCGCTTGGAGTGAACAGACATTAACGTCTCATTTTATGATATTTTAGTGCTTCAAAGGCTAAGAGTTGTTCGTCTAATAAAAAACAGCAAATTATTTTAAGTGAATCTTTAATTTACACTCAGATATACACCTTATTGTATGTAGTTGAAAGGAAAACTTTATTCTACGAGTATGTATGTCGCATTCGATACATATTTTACCTAGTTTTATTTGTTTTAATACACTTGATTTTTTAAACAAAATATCTGTTCAATTCTTTTGATGCAGTAATTCAGATTTTTTGTGAATCCGGAGGTTTAAGCCGAATTATTAAGGTTGCACTGTTGTAATAAGCAACTGTTTCTTCGATACATTTTAAACAAAATCATATTGACTGCTGAACTTGCCGGTGTAGTAGCATTTATTTTCACATTACATTGCAAACATTTTTACATTCTTCCAGACAGAACGTAACTTTTTTTGAATACAGTTTCCATTATGACTTGCATTTTCAATGTACAATTTGTTCGATATTTTATTTAATATCGCAATTTGCATCAAAACTGTTCACAAACGATACTCAGGAAAATTAATTTTTAATCAATGTATAAATGAATCCGTAATTTTTTTTCCTTGTTTCAGGCTTATAAAAAATGGGTAGCCCAATACGGGGAAGAAGACAGTCTCCCCGGACTCAATTTGACCCACGACCAACTATTTTTCCTTAACTACGCGCAAATATGGTGTGGGTCAATGCGGCCAGAAGACGCCTTGACCAAAGTGAGGTCAAGTGTTCACTCCCCTGGTCCTATTAGGGTTTTGGGTCCCCTGTCTAATTCCTGGGACTTTGCAAACGCTTATAAATGCCCCGCAGGATCCCCAATGAACCCCACCAATAAGTGTAGTGTATGGTAAGTTAAAAAATTTAGAAAATTATGAGAATTTAATAAAATTACAAATGTTTGTAATAAGTGGAGAAGTGCGTTGAGGGAGTATTAATGCAGCACTTTTTGTGCACTATAAAGAATTCAGTTAGGATAACTACTTATATTGAACTGCCTTTTCGCAAACTACTAAATCAATAAATTAACATTGATTCAACAGTCATCGGTTTAATCAGATACATAATTATTTCACCGCTGTGTAGAACAAATATTCTGGATTAATTGAATGTGGCTGATCCTTCTCCAATAGCTAACGCATACTCATTACTCACATATTGGTATACCTAGAATTTACCTATACATATCTGTACCTATTCCTATTTTTAAGTAATAAAACCACAAAATATTTAGATATGATAATTTGTCGACTTAGTACATGACTATGTAATAACGTTGTGTGTTTTTACACTTTTTAAATAAAGGACCTTAGTTATGATTGAAATGTACAAATTTTATAAACAATTTCGGTCTCCCAATGTATTTTCGCTTATATGTTTGAGGTGACACTTATTTGTTAATAAATGTCTGAATTCGTACTATTTGGTTTAATGAACTAAAGCGATTCGGTGATTTTCTCATGATATAATCTCATCCCCTCTTAGTACAGTTGTTTAAAAATGAGTTAAGAAAATGTTGATTTACCCGAATTTAGTTACAAATACAGGTTTGGAGGGCCCAGTGGCAGGGAATGGAATAACGGCTATATTTTGTTAGCGGGTTATATGGTAAACGCGATATTCTTATAGCGAGCTATTTTTTTGAAAGCATTAACGTTACAAATTTCGTTTGAATATTCGCTGATAATGAGCACAGCTTATTTTCATAGGCAAATGTGATAAAAATAACACTTATTCTATGGTTTCAATTAAATGGAATACCTAAAATAATGGAACATAATTTAATTGACTTTCGTTGAAGAAAGATTATTCCTATGTTCAAATACTCATATTTTGAAGAACTACAAACTTTTATGATTTTTCTACCATTTGAACCGACATTTTTATGAGGAGTTCGGACAAGTAGTTCTCCAAATGTTCGAAAACCTATTCATTGCTTTCAGTGTTAAGTTTATATTTGTTTCATTATAACACTCATTCCATAAATTATAAGTGGGTATATCACTTTCGAAACTTGTTTGCTCTTGGTGTAGAAGGTGCTGGATTTTCAGTTCGTTCCTGCTCGTACAGGAACCATCGGCTGGGGACTTTTTTTTAACTGTTGAGTTAAGTTTTTTCAAACCACTAATGGTTATTCTATATTGCATCATTGTATTAATTATATACATATATAACATCATTGCATTAATTAATTTATTTGTTTCGTTATCATTTTTTACGTAGTTTTAAACACATCACTGTAAATCAATGGCCACTGGTCATTTGTACATCACATGAGAAATCTGAAAAAATGAGTTTTTGGAAAAACGAACCAAACTGATTTTGAAAAATCATATTTTAAATTGTGTTCTTTATGATACGAGTGTAAGGCACAAATGGCGCTAAGGAGATTCCTTCAAATATGATTTCTTATATAGATGCCCTTAGAAAAATTAGTTTTCAAAGTTTTTTCTTAGTCTGTTTTGGAGGAAAAGTGAGATCATAACTTTCAAAAACTTTGCACAATTTCACAAACTTAAATACTGCAATTCTGAACACTTTCAGAAAACACTGTCACTCTGCTTCTAATTCTTAGTCTGTAAAACATTTACTCAACTTCCCTAGTAATCGCCGTTTTCCACTGGAAATTAAAGCTTTAAACACTGAAAGCTTTTGGCGTAATTTGTTCACACCTGTGTGAACACATCGGCGATTCCAAAATTTATAATTTCCGCAAAAGTTCCTAGTCGAACTTTTTCCAACGGCAATTGTTCAAGAATCTTAATGGTCTTGCTTTAAATAGCTCGATTTTGGTTGGTTGGTCAATTGAATTAGTAAAGTCTACATGCACTTTTTTCGCCTTTTTTGAAAAAGCTCTCTTGAAAGCTCTGTTTTTCTTGAAATTGCAAAAAATATTGTAAATCGCTCTGTCACAAGTGCGTTTAGAGGCAGCACAATTTTCCGAATAGTCTCCTTTTCCGTACACGTATATCTAAAGTGCCCCCAACCAATCTAAAGACTACATGGGACTATAAAAAAAAAACAGTTTAATACATAGTTTTATTAATTACCATTAAGTATCTGTACATGCACACAACTGTAAGCTTAACATGTACATCACTGTGTGCGAGGAGAAGGTAATTTCAATTCCTAATGCTAATTAAATGTGACAAGAAAAAAAAAACGCAACAGTTACAATATAAAATTAAACTATTTAATTCTAGTAAAATGTGAACTATCCTAAAAATGTAATGCCTAATATGACGGCTCCTGAAAGTCGTGTGATTTTCACTTCAGTTACTTCAATTAGTAAGCTCGTTTTTAAAATTAGCAGTCTTGCGTAAATAATATGTTAAAATACAATTGAGACATTTTAGATTAACTGAGCATAGATGTGTAGCATACACCTCACCAAATCATATGAAATACAAACTAAACTCCGTTTTGGGGTTCGTCTAGAATAACTTTGCAAACAGAAACTCATTTTACGCCCGATTATAAAGGGGGAACAGCCTTCCACAATGACCTTATTACCCAGAAGCTGAAAAAGCATCTAGCCAACCAATCTTTACAATTTTTTTAATTAAAGAAAAATTAGCTCGTAACATTTAGAAGTGCGAAAAATGATATCAATCGAATTGCTTGCATCACGTCAATATTTTGCACTTCCCACACGTTTTGAACGCCACTAATAAAATCTTATCGAACATTGGCTTAATAACGAATACCAAAATGTGTGTTCACAAAAACATCAAATTCCCTTGAAAAAACAAAAATATAATATAAAACATAATCAACTACTGCTTGTAACCCAACTGAAAAAAAACGCACACTGCGACAGAAACTGATCACCCCCTTTTCCTTCAACACTACCCATACGAATCTTATTAAAAGATACCATCTAAATTCTGAAAACAGAATTATAATAGGAGCAGATATACAAGTAATAAAAAAATAAAATGTAACCATAGTAGAGTAGTATCCTTAAGTATATTGACACTGAAATATTGTTTGGCTACTGGCCTTCTTTTGCGACAAATTTTAACACCAAGAATCACAATGATTATATTTCATTTTCATTAAATATTTACTGGGTAGATAGTAAGTATTATAAGAGCTAATCGCATCAAATAGAAGTGATGACGGAGCTGGCGGCTTAACTATAGGTCAAGCTTTGAGGAACGCCGTTGACAGTCTTTGATTTCAGCACGTCGTTCTCGTAAGACATCACTGTTTCTTTTCCATTATCAAAAACCCTAAAAGAGGTTCCATGTAACATACTTGAAAATCGTTCGTTAAAAAGTGAAAGCTCTCAGCGTGATTATAACAAGTTCCCTCTCGCTAACTGACTCACGGGACAATTATTTCATATAATTGATAAATGATTAGGTTCGACATTCCATAGCAATTAATTGAGTTATTGAACCAATATTAAGATGCCTGATAGCTTAATAAGGAAGTAATGAAAATTAATTAAAAAATACTTACTTCTTAGTAGTGATTTTCTTGCCATTGACGAACCGAGTGGACGTTGAGGTGCGTTTCACGTTAGCGCCGCTAGGTAATCCTGAAGCTCCGTTAGTGAAAGAACTGTTCATTGTACTAAAAGAGGAGAAACCTCTATGACCTCCATGATGACCACCCGCTGCCTGACCGAAGAAATCATCCATGAAACCACCTCCAAGGAGGCTGAAGGGTGCGAATAGACTGTGATTGCTCAGCTGGTTCTGAGGGTGGGAATGACGGTTGGCTCGGTGATGGTGACGTTGGCGTTCAGATCGGTGCGGATCGTTCAATCCTGGAAGAATCCAAATTTAATTTTTTTATCTACATATGAGCTGTAGATAATTTTTTTGGACCGCGAAATCGTAGTCATCAATTGGGGTACTTTTTTTAACATTTAAAAATTCTGTCATTCACTTCCAAACATAAACTGGAAATACACTAAATACCGGGTGTCCCCCATAAGCACATGGTGAAAATAGCGCTGCGACATCGGCGGCTCCCTAATAATTTGTCAATGTTCCTTCTTAAATATGTATATATATTTAACTTTTATCATTCTTGAAATAATATCTTCATAACATTAAGTATAGATTCATGCCAAACACTCTTCGTGCAAAACGCAGATTAGAATTTTCAAAAATCAGCAGCGTCTTTCGGCGAAGGTCGCTTTTATATTCACATACACTGCACATTTGTGTAGTAAATTTGATTGGTCAAACTATCCGATCGCGCTCTTTGTTCATCCCCAAGGGTCCTAAGAATGTCGATGTTTTTAGTTGACTATTGAATACATTTAGTACGTGCACGGCATCTATGTTAGCGTTTTCAGTTCATTTAGCCCGTGGGTGCCTGTACTCGTACTCATTGATGGTCAGATTGTGTTATTCTGATTCAGCTAATTACACTGATGAACAAAATTAGCGCACCGTCTATAAATTTCAAAGAAAAAATATTATAAACCCTACATACTTTTATCAAAATTAAAATTATTGTTTTTTAAATTAATATGATAATGTTTTCGAAATAAAAATTAAAACATAACATGAATCACTAGTTTATCAGATTTTTGGTGAAAATTTGTGGGAAATACATTTTGAAATTCAGGTAAAGTTTCAATGTTTAACCGATTCAATAGCGTGTATTGCCGCCTCTAGCTCGAATAACGCCCCTCAAACGTCTTGGAATGGCATAGAAAAGGTTTGTAATGAATTCTTGGGGTATGTTGTGGCATTCTTGAAGAATCGCGTTTTCCAGTTCAACCAAGTTCTCAGGAGTAGGATATCTACACTACGTACGAGGTCCGTACGGGATGCCACCTCAAATGATGAACACCCAACCTTCGGGCGACCTTACGTTGGGAATACCCTTCTTCCAAAAGGCGACAATTTTGACCGCATCAAACTCACTTAAATTTCTTCCTGAGGACATTTCATTGCGAATACACTTTAGTTACACACATAAGTTAGCAAAATGCAAGCAAATTGAATCGAAAACAGTACCGCACTTGCAGAAAACAATGATGATATGTTGCAAATGACACAAAACAAGTAGAAACTTGCATTGGAATGAATAGAAAGGGACCAAAAACAATTGGTACTGTACAATGTTACTATGGTTATGTTATTTACCATTGCCAGCCTACTTGAGGAAAAAAATGATTTATTCGAAAATGTATGGGTGGTGCGCTAATTTTGTCCATCAGTGTATAAGAATGACGGATTTTTTAAATTAAGATCCTTTAAATTAAATGATTCATGCATGAATATCATAACAAATTTCTCGTTCCATAACATTCCCAGTTCCTTATTAGTAACTTGCTTAACTTTAGGAATGGCTTCACACGTGCTGAAATAAGTATAAAACTTTTTAACCTAAAACCGAAAACATTTTTTCGTTTGATAAACATTAAGCCAAATTGTCTTATTTTGAGTCAAATAATGTCGCTTTACCATTTTGACTGTGCTTAGGTCTCCTAAGCACAGTCACCAGGTATAGTTTGCGGTAGCGGAAGTTTCTTGAAATTTAGTTAATTGATTTGGGGTATATTTTGGTTATTAGTGTTTCGTTTGAAAGTAGTTAATGATTTTTATGTCTCTGGAGTTAATACTAGCAATGGAAATAATCGACTGTTTTCGGACTACATAAATTACGAAAATCTCGTGTTGATAATTGAAATACTAATGCGAATAATTTAAGTTTATTAAATATAAATCTCGACATTTCAAATTTGGACGAACGTAACCCGAAATAATATCCATAGCTTAAAATCGACATGCACTTTTGAAAGTTTTTCTGACTGAACTCGATTTAATGAATGATAAACACATTTTAAGTATACAGTTGTAAAAGATGCGAGTGTTATTTACCTTTTTTTTTATGTTATTTATGTTGCTTAAAAATTGTATCTAAAAAGGCAGTGGCTCCTTTCAGGCAAATTTGAGATTAATAATTATTTATTTGTCATTGTTGCTTCTTAAATCCAAATATTTTTAATCACTAATAAACTTGTTTTTGTTTGTTCAGTCCTCGGTCACTGGTGACTCAGTAGTCTCCAGTTAAACACGAAACTGGAATTATTTACTGGCGCCCAAATGTTCCGGATTGTACTGTCTTTTTTATATCAGCAAACTCCTAATTTATTTTGTTCTGTTTTGTTTTGTCTCATTTTGCATTGGAAACACGAAAATCACAGTATATCATGACAAAAAAAATAATTCCATTGGATCTCTCGTTGATATCAGCAAACTCCGTTCTAACTTTTCTCTCGTATTTACTTTGAGTAGTTTGGTGCCGTAAAATGTAACGGATTTCTTTATCATCTGTTTCACAGACAAAGTACCATTCTGTGCAAATTGAAGTAGACTTCAATCCAATTAATGCGCCCCAGGAAAAGATCCCGTATTCGAATTAAATTTGAAGACCACTACGAAGACAATTTCAAAACATTTTCAAAAGCTAATCTAATTATTCGATTTATGTAATCAGATTCTTCCCATGACACGTACGACTATTATGATTTAATTTTGAAAATCACTAAAGCTGGTTTGGTAATTATTTCGAATAACTTTTTACATAGATCGATTTTTTCAATAGTAGTTATAGACTGAGATACACACTGATATTGTTTGTTTAAAAAGGAGCTAAAAAATTGGAAGTCTGGACTGGATTCCCTTAAAAACTATATGAACCGAAACGACCTTCAATCCAGATTAAAATTAATATTTATGAATGGCCGTAATTATTCTCGGTCTCTTAATTAGCCTAGACAAACTCGATTGCCATTAAAAATATTATTTAAAAATCCTTAGTGTATCCATATACGGGCTGTGGAAAATTTAACTCGACACACTATGAGCAAATTTCTAATTAGTAGTCATTAGTCAAACATTCAAAAGTACGCTTGAACACTTTACTAAAATCTCGAATAACTTTTTTACGATATTAAAAATTCTTTGTATACTGAATGGAGAAAATACCTGATTAAAGGCAAATCCATGTATCCTAAATTTATTTTAAAATAATTTTTTTTGGCTAATCAGGTTGTGTGTCTACTTCGGAACCAAGTTTTATACCAAGATTATTTTTGGGAACCAAGTTTTTATTTGAGTTATCGGAATTTCTAATTCTAGTTCAAAAAAGCCATTAATTAACACGCACAAAAATGATATAATTTGATATTTTATTCAAATAAATACCACTCTATTAATTTATTTTATGAGAGTCAGGGAAAGCAGCACTGTAAATAGTGAAGTACATACAAGTTACTTTTCACCGATGTGTTTTTCTCTCATTTAATTGTTTTTTTGTATCTCAATTTGCCATTTAGCAACAATATGAAAATAAGCTTTCATGCAAAATTATCGGTAATTTTGAAGCACTTGTGCAATTACCCCCGAAAAGACCGTGACCATGCTAGGACACAAAAGTTCCAATTTCCGATTTTGGTTTCAATTTTCATCAAATTGATGATGAATCTTATTCTTCATTATCAACATTTTGAATAATGAACTGTGTTCAGTTGAAGAGTTTCTGACTTCATATTACAACTTAACAAAGTACGCGTTTTTGTCTTTAACAAAATATGTTAAATAATATTTTTGTTTAAAATGACACTGAATTGGAAAAATATCGGTTTAAAAGAAAAGAGCTGCAGTTAGTAGTAATCTTGAAACAGTAATTATTAGTATTACGTGAAGAACACTAATTCTATTAGTATGATAGACGATAAATAATCAATAGAAAAATGCAAATAGAAAATTACTTCACTATTCAATGGACCTCAAGCTAAAGTAGTTTTAATCTTCGCCTTTTACTTGATATGGACATCGACTTAAAAATGAGAAACAAATAGACAATGAAAATTAACAGAACAGTAATCAAGTAGAGCACCTACAGGATGTCACCACAAACAGATATATTTATGTATACATAAAATAGCCTGCTTATTGAGTCACTCAAAGCACTTATTATGTGGAATTTTTCAGTCCATGTTTGACGTTCAAAATGAAATCACCTACTTTATTAATAATTATTGTTTAATTAAACCATTAACAATATCAACCAATATCTGGTTTCGAAATAAGTTTTGTTTATCGCATCGCACTAAAAACGTATTTTGTTGGAAATATCTCATCCGAATATTTTTCTGCTTCATCAGGATGAGTGCAAAAAAACTAAAATTCCTTCAAATTTAAATCTTTACATGCAAACACAAACTCGCTTCATCGACAATTAGCCGAAATAATTATATTTGATTTTCCTTTGCTAAAATTGCGACCTTTTGAAAACTAGTCGAAATTTCTAGGTGTTTTAAAATTAGAATTTTCTAGGTGAATTAAAATGCGAATTTTATCCTTCAAATGATTTTGAAAAAAATGTCAGGACAATAAATCGGGCGATAATGGTGACCACACGACTAACCCTCGGTTCCAATTGAATTTTTCGTTCCATAACAGTCAAAATTAACCCGTTGAAAACAAAAACACCATAATAACATGTTCATTTGATTTTGTTCCAATTCCATGCTGAGTAACAATTATTTTTGCTTAAATATACATATAAGCACCAATATTGATTTGTTTTCAAGACACTGACAAATAATTAGTTAAAAGATTTAAATAATAAAATCAGCTTCAAGAACTTTATATATAATTACTCCCTGTTCACAAAAATTGTATTGCAAATAAATATCGGAAATGTTGAGAGGGGACTGACTTTAAAAGAGATTTGCCCATAATAAAGTTAATTAACCTCTCATTAATCTAGCACTTGATTTCACACAAAATATAATAGATATATTTTGTAAATATGAAACGCACGTGCACTTTTTAAACACAACACATAAAGTATACATACCTGCTAAAAGGTCGTAAACATCATTAGCTCCGAAAAATTCTCTAAATACGTCCTCAGGATCTCTAAAGCTGAAGAAACTAAACCCGCCAAAGTCGAAGTCATCCTCATGACGACTCCGGCCTCGACTTCCACCATTGAGCAGACCGTCTTTTCCGTATTGATCATACATTCGCCTCTTCTTATCTGCAAGAGAAAAACATCATTTATTGCAACACCAGGCTAAGGGGATGGAAACTGTCGTTTTTATTTGAAGCGCTGAAGAGCCAAGTCCCGTTCTGCTATTCCCGACATATTTACAAAGCCATACCTGAAAACCGGTCAAAACTCGAAAGCTGGATAAAAATATTTGTAGGATGGTTACGCTGTCTAAAGGGTGTTAAAGATGTGTTATTGCAAAAAAATTAAATATGGCGAATTTAGGAGGTTAGTGAAGAATCAGCGATATTGACGGTAAGGACAATGTAAGGACTTTTTCAGATGCAGTTCACTGAATAAAATGAAATAACTGAATGTGAAAACTATGTAAACTTCATCGATTCATTCATTCAATTGAGTGAGCTTTTAACCTAGCATTAAGTGGAAGCTAAAATAGATTTCCGAAATGTTTAATCAGCAAAGTTATAACCATATTTCCCCAAAAAATGCGATAGATTCGAAATCCTTTTCCTCCTAAAATTTATTTGGTTGCTTAGTGAACATTTTATTTTATTTTGTAGAACGTGTTCTAAAGCATGAATTTGGCAAAATTGAAAACAACTAACTCAGTTTATGCATAAGTTTCCTTTTGCTCTTCATATATGAACTCAAAATGTTTGCTATGTAGTCTTTAAAAAAAATCGTGAGAGTTAAATTTGGTAGGAATTCAATGAATATAGCAACCTAATTGCATTTGGCATTTAGAATTTTAACTACTGTGCAAACGGATGGAGCTCGCTCAAAATATGCGCATTTTGCTTATACGACAAAAATTAATTCCTTATTAAAACAATTAAACTTAACAGAAAGAAAGAAACTCGAAGCTGGATGATGAAAAAAATTGTTAATTCATATTTTAAAATCTGAAATAAAACCAAATATCACCTGATAATGTCCAAGTTAACAAGGCAAATAAATGCATCGAGAATAAATACCAACTTTATGGATTGATTGATTTGCTTTAAATTATTTACAAACGCGGGTTCGGAAAGTAGTTCAATTCAGTTGTTCAATTTTCCCCATCAGTAATAATTATTTAATCAATCTACTTCCAATTTTTCTACATGTTTAACAAAAATTACTATTTGTCTTAAAGCCAAAAGTGAACCCCATCTGCGCACACTACACTGTTTATTACCACGTTAAAGTGATCATTAAACATGCATCTGGAAATAACTAGCAAGTCAAAGATGAGAGGATATTCAGTAAAGTCGAATCGGTCAAAAACTAAACACTTCATTCATGGTTAAGTAGCTGGAGCAAAAAAGGACATATAAAAAATCGATATTAGCACACTTAAAAAAAAAACAGGAAAAAGTTTGTTGTATCTACCGAAGTAACGTTGAGAAAACGGGTTGTGGAGATCGAAATAGCTTCTGTAACTCCTCGATGATCTGGTCGTCGAACTTCGAGTACCTCGAGCATCGTAAATTTTTCTCTTCGAATCTGTATCGGGAAAATTGAATAGAAAACTGGGATAATTTTCCTACTTCAAATATATTTCACTTTCACTTAATTCTGGTCATCACACATATAAGTGAAAAATTAAACACATCTTAACGATACACCCAATGACAGTATAATATGTATGCTATTAATCAACCTGAAGCACCAAGAATATATGTATGATAATTAATAAATATGGCAAAAAATGCGTTAGCTTTCAAATAAGACACAAGCAAGGCAGTTTTATCACAGTTTACAAACCAGTAACGGTAAATTATAATACCAAAGGTTGTAATTTAAAAGTAATTAAGCGATATAATTTATTTATAACATATTACTTCTGTGTTAATTATCGTTAACAACTAGTAATCCGATCTGATAACAAAGATTTCACGCAGGTGGTCTCCGTTGGGTGCTTTCGCGATATTTTAACAGTCTTGTATGTGTGTAATTTTATCCGCAATCGACGGCAATCTTTTCCTTTACGATATACGATTAGGTGGACTATAATTTAACGCACTTATGAAATAGTTATTTTTAGCTCCATTTGCTTTGCCAATTGAAAAGGTTAGAAGCGAAAGGGTGCAAGTGATAAATTTAAAAATGGAGAAAATCGTGTTTGAAGCTTATTATAGAATCTTGGGTGAAAAATTACCAATTAATTAAAAAATATATATTTCGTTACAAAACAGAAAACCATAACCATTTTTTGTATAATGCTTAGCTTCTTTTGATGTCAGCGAAAATAGTCAAAAACTCACTTGTTTCTTATTGACATTATTTGATAATATGAAACTAAAATACATAAAACAGAACAAATAACAAGCTAATAGTGAAAATTAATTTTTAATTGTCGTAGTCTGAAACAATTTCTTTAACGATTTTTTTTACTTCATGCTTCAAAGGGTTACGGTACTCGTTGTGGATTGATGGTATTTTAGATAAAACTTGTTTATTTATCTTTGGAAATCTTTACAGGATTTTCATAAAGCACTTTGCCCAAATCGGAAATCTTCATATCCGACCTTCCTTCATGAAGATGGAATATTTCTCAGATTGAATAAAAGTAAAAGTAATCTTTATACTGTACATACACATTAAAATGTTTAAATAAAAATGACACAAAGTAACATATTTCACAGCAAAATCATGAGCCCTCACACCATTACAAGGATTTTTTAAGTTTTATATAAGAGTGAGAATTTGAAGTTTACAAAATCATTTGCCATCGAATTAACTATGTATCTGAAAGTTTTTGAACAATCTTCGATCAATATCTGGCCAATAATCATGAATTAGAATATCATATTTTTTTTTATTTTTCAATAAAAGCAGTTAGCAGCATGATACCCAGTTGAGACTCACATTTGGGCCCTGATGCCTTGATTCAAAAACTTTCTAATCAATGTTTTGCAATATTTTGGCTTCTATTTTATCCAGATAGGCTTCAGGTAGATCCTTAGAAAACTATTAAAGAAAAATAATATTGCTCATTTGGTTAGCGGCGATAAAAATCAAGTGTATTTGAGTCATTTTGCATACAAATTGACATTTTGAATATTCTGTAGGGTTTTTCGCTCATTGATAATATACGGCTCTAAATGATCGAAAACCACTTGACTCCTTTAACAGCAAACAAAATGCGAAACTGTTGACTCGCAAGTCGGGATTCAGAAGTTGATAATGACCTGTTGGGAGAGACTTCGTTCAGCCTCGTTTAACAAGACGTAAATTTATGATGTTTTAGAGTAGCTGATTTTTAGAAAACAATTAACAAACGCTCGATATGGAAAAAAACTGCAATTTGCAAATGCTGAAATTTTACGCCATGTGTATTTTTTTTACACTAGAAACAGATGCAACACATACGCGTATAATGTAAGTAACTGATCCATCTAACAATGTTAGTTTGTTTATAATACTCAATCGAGTGTATTCAGGTGGCTTACTACAATTACCCGTCTAAATAGAAATACACAATAATATAAACATCGTTTAAAATGACCTAAAAGCGTCATGAAAATTGGTGAAACTATGTTCGGATAAATTTACCAATTACTCTCTGACGAAACCAGGAGCAGAGTCCAGAAAATGTGCTTCGTCAATATATTGACGAAACCTTTGGGAAAGCTTTCCAATTTGGTTGTTTTTTGTCAAATATAGACGCTACATGTTTACAGTAACTACAATTTATCGGAGAACACCTACGTGTTGATATCATAAAATATTCATCAGACGCTATTCAGTGGCTCATATTTAGTCTCAAACTATTTTCAAAATTTATACACGGAGAGCGCAGTTAGCAAGTAGAAGAATATATTTGCCTGCAGAACCTGCAGCTTTATAAATATACTTTTCGATCAAGAGAAGAAGGTACCCCTTACACAAAAACGCTAAGGATTGTTTTAGTAAGGCTAAAGCGCTAACTCAGTAGTAAGTATCTAATACACACTAACTTTATCTATGCTTTCCTTAAATAGCTAGAACTAATTCATGTAAAAAGGTAAGTATGGTATCAGAGTTATCAATAAATCAATTAAAAAAATTGGATAATCAGACGATCACGACTAGGAAGAGTTTTTGCCGGCTGATACACTCTGTATTCTGGCAAAACATCTTATTTTTGTCAAAGGAATAATTCAGCACGTCAGATACACGCACACGATAACTCCGTAGAATCACCTTCGTGCTTAAAATAGTGCTAAGAGCTACTTTTAGATCCCGTGAGAGGTTTAGATGTCTAAAATGCTGAAATGATTCCGAGTTAAAAATGTAATTGACTGCGTTTAATTTCTGATAAATGTACGACTGGTTTCATTAAAACAAATCTCAACGAATCTCGGCCAGATACCTACTGCTAAGATGTTAAGTGCGGATTCATTAATAGAAAACATATTAGATAAACTGTCTTGTCCCTACAATTCACGTAAAAAATCGGTAAATTCTTTAAAAAATTGTGTTCTTCTTTTAGACATTGTCATTCATCAGTTCATTTACTACTAAAACAAACGTATTTTGGGTGAACATATACCTGCACTGTTCAAAGATTTCGGACTTGAAATAATAACATACTTTTAATCAGGTTTAATTAAGCCTTTAAAAATCTGTTATGTGTAAAACGTACTCATCAAAAATAGATACAAATTTATTTTAGCCAAAGAGCTCCATACGTTAAAAACAATTATATTACTTAATACTTATCTCTCTTAGAATCTCTTCCCTGGATTAAATATGTAAGAGCGGAAAGATTGCAAGGGTCGATAGCTTTCTTGTTATGCACAAAGGCATGCTGTAGAACGGGGGTTGCCGAAATAATTTAGAAAATCATAGACAAATTCCTTTTGAAACAATTCCAAATTTGTTTTAAATTGAAGCTAACTGAAAATACCATTGCACGCTAGGTAAGAACGTAAAGAAGCAAAAATAATATATTTTCAATGTTATCTTGAATGTGCTCATGCCTATAATTCGAGTATTCATTAACTTCAGCCTACACAAATCATTTGATGTGAGATATTCGTCTATTTATGTCACAATATTTACCTGATTGAAACAAACATGTATACACTTTAATATGAACATATCTGGCTTGGTATTATAATTGGATTTAGTTAATATGTTTCCTCATCTAGCATCGTATAAACTTTCCGAATGTTGAGTTTAATAATTTTTGGGCTTCAGTTGAGTATTAAACTTCGCAATTAATTACACATCGAGCAGTCGCTTTAATAGTTTAAAATTAGCATTTGTTATTAACAATAGATGTACCTTTTTCGTACCGATGATTTTTCTGATAATACTTACATGTCAAGATTATATAAAAACACCAATTTAAAATACGAACTAAGATTAATATACTACTAAAACCTCAAGTGTAACAACATAAAACACTCGAGTGTCATTAACTTTCCATTCATTATAAAAAAATAGTGAAGCTCGAACAACAACGAAAAGGGTCAATTTACTGCTGAATGTTCAGATTAAATTGTAAACCAACTCATTAAATTATTTGTTATGAATGAACGTTTCCCCGATTAAATTTAAAAATAAAACGTATAATGTTCAAACATTTATGTATATTATATATATCAGACTATGAAGGCTTTCACGGCCGGTCAGATTACATTTAGGAATGTTTTCCGGGCTTTGAAGCCGAAGACTAAGAATGAGTTTCTTAGTTGGAAAGCACGGGAGATCAATTCGCCCACTGCCTCATCGCCTTTGAAAATGTCCACCGCAGTTGTGGACGAAACGTCAGGAAGAAATTCCGATAGACCACGGCTTCAAACCCCGGAAAACATTCCTAAATGTATATTATATATGATTGGCAATATAAAAGAGTTGATTAGAACGTAATGAAATTAACCCAATCAGGGTAATGTTCCGATGTATTTTTTTAAGAAAACACTATTTGCAACTTTACTTTTAGATTATTATGATGACTGACTTATTTTCTTCTAAATATTTAACTCTTCATACTCTGCTTTCAAATATCATATAATACCGAGTTCGATGTAAGAAATGCCGTCAACCTCAAGGACGACATGGATTAAAATCAGTCTTGTATAAATAATTTAAATACATATAAATTAATTGATTTGATGCATTCAGGAATTTGCCTCCTCATGCCAATCCAGTCTGCAAAATGCTCTTGCATAAATAAGTGGCATTATAACACTATCTTCAGAAAAATTCAATTGCTGATTTATTTAATGCTGCGAAAGTTAGTTGCACCTTTTATTAATTTGTTTATTATACTTGATACTGGCCATGTAAATTGATGTTGATTTGTTCGAAGAATAATACTTAGCAATACCTATAGACAAAACAAAAATTACATAAACATGAATTTTGATTAAAATAACTTTCGCGGGATGTGTCTATAATTAAAATTACACCCAAACGACTGTTTTCTCTCATTCAGCCGACAGTGTTAACGTATTGTATTCTTGGTGCTTCAGACGTCCATGCAAGAGTAACTGTAAAACCACTTACCGTCTGAGAGAACTTCATATGCCTCGGAGATTTCTTTGAATTTCTTTGTAGCTTCATCAACGTTATCGTTGTTTTTATCTGGATGCCATTTTAGAGCGAGTTTTCTGTACCTGAAACGTAAAAGATGGTTTGCAAATCAGTGGAAAATTAACGGATAATATTAACTAAGACGGCCAGAAAAAGCCGACAAGTATGATACTTAAATCCTTGCAATGTCTCATATCCATCAAGGAGACACATTTAAAGTTCAGAGATTCAATTTATAGGTTTATTAACATTGAACCCACGCCTCAATTATTGTCGGGGCATTTGCCGCGTCATTAGCATGAGCACTTCTTTTCATTTGGGGTTGAAAAATTCATTATTTTTATATAAATATCCTGTATACTAAATACCTCATCAGTCTAGACCAGCCTACACTAAGCAGTTTTCAACAAACAATCGCTTCCTGTTCCTCGGTAATCTGCATTTTCTACTTACTTATTCATAAAACATAAAAACACTTCCATGCATATTAGGTGTATGAAAGGATACCTTATTTATAATCGTGTCGTTTTTTCGCCTTTTCAGCGAATTCAAACGATTCCTGTCGTCAGAAGGTCGTTTCCGGTATGTAATTTCAAAATGAATTATTACTTAAAGCAAAATAACTGTAGGATCAAATTAAAGGTGCATACATAAGTAGAAACCTAAACAATCTTAGCTTTGCCTTTTACTTCGGGCAAGTAAATAGGATGTATGTAATTTTATTCCGGTTAGATCAAGGTAAATATTTTATTCTTATTCTTTGTGTACTTTAATATTCATTCAATATGTGTCCCAATTTTGATGTGACGATGTATGACCCAATTAAATAATGTATAAACCATCCATCCATCCATGTCTTACTTAACAAGAAACATATGTTCTTGAAAAGGTTTCCATTGATTGATTTAGTTGATTTCTCAAATCCATAGCTGAAGATAAGAATACTTAAGGAAAAGTATGTTGAATAGCTAATTGACTTATTTAAACACCCGGCAATGTGTATCTACTTTGAACATGTTTAATTTAATTAAAATAATGTCTGCCAAATATTGCCCAGAAACTGGCTCCAATTAAGAAAATATAAATTAGAAAACCAACTAATTTTAAAGAGTTGATTGATTGCTTGTCAACTTAAAATTTAATTATTTTTCAGTTTTCTTTCTGAATAGAAGAATGAAAAAATTAATTTTCTATTAACAATATTTGGTTACAATTTGTTTACTTCAAATTCTGCTTCAAGTCTGAAAGGCACCTACAAGATATGTATTGTAATTTGTATTTTATGTAGAATTACAATTAAAGAAAATAATTCGTTTTAATCCATAATTTATTGAGAAATATACGAGCATCAACAATATTTTTGCCTTTTGCAGATGTAAATTGGTGTCAAACATTCCACAATAAATAAATCTTTCTTCTAAATTGTTTAATTTTGAAATAATGATCATACAGAAAAAAATGTAATTACCTTTTAAGTATTTGTTATTTTAACTATGGAATTAACATGCTAAATAGCAATGGTGATTTGTAAATGATAGTCATTAAATTTCTTGATAATAAATTCCTTTGAAGATAGAGAAAGAGGTATTAAATCAGGGTTATATTCTTCAAACGGGACACGGGACATATATTATCTGCTCTTAAGGAATAAAAAGCCTAAAAAATAAGCAAACTTGATACTAAGTTGTATGAGTCAGACGCTTTTAAATTCCAAGAAGGCCAAAGATCCGAAATTAATTGAAACATTAAAAATGCATCGTGGTTCAATTTTAACTCGCTAAACTTGATAACAAACTAGAAAAAATGGCGATACTTGTGAAAATGGAAGGAAAAAGACCAAGAGGAAGATCGCCGATGAACAGTACGATAACACAAGCAAAAAAGGAATCCAGGAACAGGGAAAGATGGCCGGATATTGTAGGAAGAGCTACAGAAAAAGAGTGAACCATAATCACGAGCTCTTTAAAAAGAGAGAAAACGAAGAAGAAGACTTTAAATGCATACTCTGCACCCAGACATTAGGGCAATGTCATATACACAATAGCTCAAAAATGTCGCCTAATCGTGGTGACGCTGTTAGCAGTTTCGTCAACAAATTCTCAAGAATTTTCATTTTTTAGTTTGTTTCACTTGAAATTTCGCTTCAGATGGATGATGAGCAACCCTCTTAGATAACCTTGCTAAGAGAGATAATACCGCTTTGTCAGAAACTTCCACAGGTCGAATTTTTTAAGAAGGTGATTTTGAGGAATGTTTGGAAACTTTTCCTGCAGCTACAGAGCTTTCACACAAAAAAAAAAATTCAGTACCCACACGCAACCCGATCGACCTAGTTTTCCAATGAGTTTAATTACTTTACATCACATCAACCGAATCTAATCATTGTGTTTCAGGACGTAGAACATTTAGAAAAAAGTATTAATTTTTATCTTCAACTTCATTGGAAAAAATACATCTTGCCCGAATACTACGTGGTTTGCATTTAATAATCAAAATGTAATTTGCCCACAAAAAACATCACAAAAATTGAACTTCGCTAATAAAATTACAGAATCAAAGTTAAAAACGATAAAAATTGTAATAAAATAAGCTACCGAATAAGTTCGTTTTTGTGTACAATACACCGCAACAGATAATTGAAACAAAGAAATTCGAGCGTGTTATACAACAAAGAATGTTATAACTAAAACGTATATGATTCATGGAAGACCGCCAAATGACTAAAAACTACCTTGAAACACGCCGAAGGCCAAAAAAAGCTCGCAAAAATCTACATCTAGATGTACTACACCCAACCTAGAAGTTTAACCAATTAGAATTAAGGGAAATTCCAGCAGCATTACTTTAAAGTAAAATATAAGATAAGATAAGATTATTCGACTCGGAAAAACGACTGAATAGAAACGCTCATGCCATATTGACGTGTAGTAAATTGAAATATATACATAGTATGAAAGACTTACGATTTTTTAATTTCAGCTGTAGTAGCACTCTTTGGCACCTCGAGGACTCTGTAGTAGTCCACCATTTTGGTGCCAGTTGCTTCCTTATACCCCAGTTTTACAGCGAGTTACTGCAACAGAAACACATCACTGTAACAAACCATGAACTCATACTTCCAACACGAAATTACCAACTTTACATTTTTTTTAAATAAAAAGTAAGTATAATACGCAAACATCTTTTGTTGTGTTTAGTAGCTATAAATGACGACTGTACATGCAACGAAGATAAGAAATAATAGTCGTTCCGCCGCAATTTATCTTATCAACGTAGCCAGAAATAGGTGATAATACCTCTGTCTAATCTGATTTTCGGAAAATATATAAACGTTTCGCAATATAATTCAATAATTTAATGTATCACTGCCACTTTCGACATGAAACTTTGCTGCCAGAACTTTTGACAGCTGACAAAATACCATAAAAAACCATGATGTGGCTTATCTTTTCAACCTGTACTTACCCAGTTTTGTAAAAAATCAATTTGAAAATGGTAACAAATACAAAAGGTTTTATGATAATGTATAATATGCAAGGGTCTGTTATTTTTTTAATTAATATTCTTAATTTTACTTTGCTTGTTTCTTCTTTGGCAGCATTCCATTGGCAATCTGGCAATAGGTAACATATTTTCGCTACCTTATATTTTTTATGGTTTCCTAATTAAAAAGAGAAGTTGTCAGATCAGAAGAACCTGACTAAAAAGAATATTGGAAACACCCTATACATTGACGCATCTAAGCATACAAAAAGTAGAAACGAGACGAATCATACTTGTGTTTGTACAATAAATTAATCCCAAGCAACTGCTTATGCGAGCGTAAACAAATAATTTTGAAATGGAACGCAAATGTAGTTTTCTTTCAGTCAGTCAATCAGGTCTGTCCATCGAAGTCTTGTATAACACACTTTAAATAACAGGCCCTGGACCTCTACGCTTGTATCAACATTAACCCGGTTATTTTATTTACAAACATCTTCATTGAAAATGATGTCAATCAAAAATATAAATATAAACTTACATAGAATTAATGAAAGAAACGAAATACGAAAAAAAGCAATAAAACCAAATACGAAAAGTGGAATGAACGATTCAAGTTCTATAACAGTAGGAAACAATAAAGTCAAAGTATTTAAAGGAATGCATTTAATTTACATTTATAATGTTACCAGATTCAACAAATCCTTTTTGTATTATTATCAAGTTAATATATAATTGTTCCACATTTGTGCATTTATCCTATGTAATTCCAACGCCTTCCTAATTATTGTAGTTTTGTTTAATTTTGATGTTTTTGCTTATTTTACAAGTTTTTCATCAATATTGAGGCTTTCCTATTTGCTTTTATATTCATTCTTCAATAACAACAGATCTCGAAGCAAGTTTAGATGTTCCGGGTTCAGTGTCTAGGTCTCCATCCATCCAGCAGTATCAAAAACACATACAATAGTTTAACTTCTTCTAATAACATCTTACATGTTTTTAACTCTTCATTCCAGCGAGAAGCTTTTATCGCATGATTCTTTAGTTTGCAAACGTACCTCTTGATCTTATTTATGTGTGCATTATTTTGCCTTAATTAGGTTGCTAAATATATAAATTTTGACTTATTCCAGTTGTTTATCTTGTAACAGTATATTTTCTAGAATATTTTTGTTTTTTAGTAATTATCGTGTTCTTTCCATTTCAATATTAGTCCATATTCATGTTCATAAAATTCAACGTGTTCCACAATATTTATAATTTTTCTGTTTGCAAGCATCGCTGTATCATCCGGAAAATTTAATCTTATTCAAAACTTTTCCACTTTCCACTATTTCTATATTGGTTAAGAGTACGCTAACGTTATTAAAGGCAATCATACAGAACATATCATTTAAATTCATGGCTTAATTACTTTTCCCACATCACACGGGAAAGAAGTACTGCATGTATAAGAGAATGTTTTATCATTCCCCTTAATTACTTTGTAGAACATTTAACAACTTATATTTAAGATATTCATATTATGTGACTTTAACATCTGCTGGGTGAATATTAAATGTCCAGATTTCCAAATACGCCAGTAGCTTTTAAAACTACCAAATAAGGAATACAGTTGCGAAATGGCATAGCTAGACACCCAATGATTATCTGAAGATGGCCAATATTTTAAGTAACTCATGTTATACTATGTGAGTTCTACAATCAAGCGTTGCTTTTTTTGAAACATTGAAGAATTGAAGAAAACAATTCCTTAAACGACTTGTGATAAATAACCCTAAAAAGGTGTTTTACTGAGAGCTACTAATTTATTACCACGCAATGAACAGTATGAAACCAAATGCTTATATGTTAGTGCATTGAGATGAGATCGTATTGTTTAAAATTATCATAGTTTTATCTAAATCAGGTATTAATCTGCAATGGCCTAAAATCAATACATCACAATCATGTAAAGCTGTAAATAATTTAGATAATAATTAGTCGCAGTTATTTCAAATTTGTGTCATTCCAGTTTAGTTGCAAACGGTCAATAGCAATAAATCAGCTTCAGCACCTGAAAACTTTATTACACGACTTTGATTTGAAAAGCTTTGAAATTCTGTGAAGCCCAAATCATAATAGACGAAAATCTGCTAATAAAAGAAGAAAATTTACAGAGAACAGACCTTAATCGAGATTATCTGAAAATAAGTTAACAAATAAATTTTATGAATTTAAAAGCAGTCTGTTAAACTCACTAAAATAACTGCTTATCAAAATGCCAATATTTTAAAGCTTTTCCATATTTTTGAGCCTGACTTTGTAAGTAATGGTTTACAACGGAAATATCGTATCGATAAAGAATATTAATCACATTTTTTCGTGCTTTCAATGCCTCTCGGGGACACTTTACATTTAAGAATAAATAAATGTTAAGTTCATATTTTACAATTTATAGCTGGTTTTATCATCGTTTATAATTCTCCACTTAAACCATAGGTAATTTAGGGCAGCCAGATCAAGTCCTTTGCATGCCAAATAAAGGTCACTCCTACTACTACTATTTAATTAAACAATCTGTTATGACAAAAAATGACGAAAATAAGTTTAAAGTGAAACATTGTTTATCAAGATGATTTGTAACGTTTTAATTATGTGCAACCAAGAAATATTCATATTTCAAAGAAGATGTTACCAAACCATAATAAACCATATTTATTTATTTATGTATTTGAATGTTTTAGTTATGAGCAGCAGTGTAAACAATTACAAACAGTTTTTTTTCTCCATGAAACCGAGTAACAAGTATGAGCAATCTCTCAGCCAATTCAGATAATTCCTAAACATACACTATGCACTTTAACTTAACGATTAGATAGAAATATTTACAAAATTGTTCCATTTTTGGCAAAGTCTGTCTGAAACTAACAAGGCATATATAAATATCCAGGTAGCATCAATCAACAGATGACGAATAAAAATGCATTTCCAGTCAACATTTTTCCACCACGCTGAGAGCTATGACTCGAGAGTAAAAGCTGGTGAAGTCTGAATCTCTTGGAAGAGGAATTCCTGCTCTAACTTAATGAGGCAAAGGCAGTTCTTTAAACGCGCTATCCAAGGATTCTATATTGTCGTTCATAACTTTGAAATATGTAAAATAGGCAGAATTCTCATATTAATAATTGCAAGGTGAAATCCAGGACAGAAAATCAGTTAGTTGAAGACACATTTCTTCGCTGAAGGACTTGAGAGAAGATGGATACACTTTTAAAATTATGATTGCCAGATGTATCGCCAACATTCGTTAGGAGACCGCATACCAAGAACTTTGAAATGGTTAAAAATTTCAGAAAAAGCCAATTAGAAAAAATTGGTGGCGTCAAACTCAATCGAGACGAACCGTATGACTCATTAAATCAGTTATTATCGATCGTTTCTGATATAAGACGTCTGTTATTTTACGTTTTCATACGTAGTGCCATTTTCGCCGTGTATCGTCTTGGAAGTTTCAAATTTCTGAGAAAATCTAAATAGTGAAAGATTGTTCCCAGTATTAGAAAGGTTATTGTCCCTTTGTTTGGCGTGAAAACGTGGACACTCACTAAAGGAGAATTGAAGCGTTCGAACTCCGGCTGTACAGGAGAATAGGTACAGAAAATATCTTGGATACAAAAAATTACCAACACACAAGTAATTCGACGGATGAAAAAAGAACCAGAACTGTTAGATACTGTAAAATGTCGGAAACTTCAGTATTTTGGCCACATAATGAGGAACCCAAATAGATACAAGCTGATTCAGAAAATCTCACAAGACAAAATTAACAACAAGAGAGCACTTGGCCGAATGAGAATGATTCTCAAAATTCAGAGTTTCAAGTCCTATCTCTTTAAAGAGGAGAACAACTAAATAATAACCTCGAGATATGTTGAAACAACTCCGGTTGGAACGAAATGGAAGCGGTTTGTGTTAACATAAACTATACCAAAACTAAGGCAATGACACACCTAGAACCAATCGGAAATATATACATAGAGGAAGCGCAAGTAGAAAATCATATAAATATAAAATAAATAAAAATCATCAGGGGCAACCAAAGTTATAAAGTTTTAAGACACATAAACCTCGGATGGACAGCATTCGGCACGCTGAGACACATATTTAAGGCTCACTAAGGTCTCAGCAAGGAAATTGAGTGTCACACAAAGACAGATGGAAAGATCTATATTGGGATATCACAGAGACAGAGTAAGAAATGAGGAAATTCGTAGAAGAACAAAGGTAGAAGACATAGTTGAAAAGATCCCAAAGTCGAAATGGAGGAGGGCCGATCATGTGGCAACACAAAAGGACATGGCATGGACAAACAGATCAGAGATAGACGAGAAAACTTCTGGAATGGAGGCCATGGTCAGGCAAACGAAATCTCGGAAGACCACCCATCAGATAGACAGGCGATTTAAAAAAGAACACCGGATTGCAGCGACACAAGAACGAGACACATGGAAGAAATTAGAGGAGGCCTATGTCCGACAGCGGACGCAAATGGTTGAAGAATGATGATGATGATAATGATCTCTTTAAAGGTTAAGAATTTCCGATAAAAGGTCGTTCTTACGAGAATATCAAACAGATCCAGCCGCAGTTTCATCTTCACTTATTGAGCCAGATGAAAGTTAAACTAACCCAACTTCAAAACAGACCTCCACAGTTTGGTTTTTTTTATGGAGACACTATATTAAAACCTATAGAATTTCCATCAACGTGATCACTTTATTCATCATCGTCAAATTCTTGTCTGTATTTTAACTTGATCTTAGCAAGTTTGCTTGAACACTAGCAAAACGTGTGTTCTAAAACAATATCATGAATTTTGCGAAAAAAACTAACGCTTGCAACAAAATTGGGCATTTCCACTACATACTTACTACTTACTAGCTTTAAATCGTAGTTTGCAAATGAAACCATTTTTCAGTAACAGAAATTCATTGCGTAACCACGCTATAATTATATTTTAATTTATAAACTATTATAAAATTAACACTTTATTGAACGTGGCAGGAAACAAATTCGCTGAGATATCTTGTAAAGCGCAAAGCTAATGGAAACGCATACACAAATGATTTATGAAAATTAACATTCAATCATAAATAATTCTGAGGCGTGTTGGCCAGCTGCACAAATTACAATTACATATACTATTACGTTAGCTGATTATTACATAATTAAATGTATGTAAAGCAATAAATAATAATCCATTGACTGCTGAACAGTAATTAAGAAATATGTGATATATTGTGCACATACTTCGATCAATAAAGAATTATTATCCTTAACAAATCAATCTGCAGTAAGCAATAAATGATGGAACTAGAGCAAAAATTGTAAAATTTACTTTCGTGCATAATATAAGTTTTAAAAAATTATCAAAAATGATCTTTTTATATTTTATTGTATGTATCAAAAAGAATTTTTTTTTCATAATTAAAAACTCGTTAAAAACTGTTCATAATAAACAAAGATAATCATATTCTCAATACTTCCCTATCAACCAATTAATCATAACTGGAATAATCCCACGTAAATAAACCAAGTGATCACTAAATATTTACATGATCGATTAAAGTTAATTAAAAGGTGGAATTTCCGAAACAAAATCTTTGTGAAGCTCAAAGGAACATTTTAGGATTAAATAACATACATGGCATTTAATTTTATAAACAATACGTAAACAGTACGTCGTATTAAAATTTAATCAATACAACTGTGTTAGACCAGACTAGACATTATAAGCAAAATTAAATCTGATGGCATCCCTGTAACTAAGTGTTGTTGTTCACGTGTGCTTTGACCAAGCATAGACATACAAAGACTGAAGGAATTGCTTTCCCACCAATTAATGCCAAAACTCCAGACAAACTAAACAAAGCGATATTAAAAATACAGTTATTATTTTTAGATCACATTTCATGAGTTTTATTTAAGGTCACCTGCCAGATCGTCACCTTAAGTTCAAGATGAAATGAGTGCGTTGAACTGACCGTGGAATATACCCCACACTAAGAAATTGTCGTAAAAATAGTCGCAACTAACATAAAGAGCGGACTAATTGAGTTTACGTATCAATTTCCTTGTCAAAATACAATAAACATATAAGTAATTAATGGTTTAAGCGAAGATGACAATCTTCATTACCAGGATCAAAGTCATCAACATAACACAGTCTGTATTTTTAATTTTGAAGGAGAGAATTTATTTATTTGTTTCACAATGTTTCACAATTATACTGCGTGGTCCAGTATAAAGTTGCCACCCCCATTTTTTCAGTTCTTATGTAAAAACGTAGGAATTGCTTTAACATGTCATTTTTTTATTTACAGGAGGAAAGTTTTTTTCTGTAGAGTAGGTGAAAATTAGCTGTTCGATAAAATTGGGCATTTCGTGAAATGGCAAACTATAAATTAGCGAGTTCAAACAGGGCAAAAATAACTTTTTCCATTGCACATAAAAGGAGCTGATAATGATCCATAAAAGTGGAGTTTCGAACTGATGCTGCATAATTTTAGGAAGCTCCGTCTGAAAAAAAATATGGTGAAAACGCACATTCTCTTCTGACAAAGTCTCATCTTGACCAATGACTTGAACTAGTACTCTTATTCTAGGAAGAATATTTTCCTTACATCCTTCGTCCTGGTTAAATTGTATCTATCACCCCCACATAGAGCTTGAAGTCAGAGTTGAAACTGTCGGTAACGTTTATTTCTACGTTTTTACGGAAAAACTAAAAAAAATCCTCGTGGAAACTTTTCATTGGCCACGTGTACGAAGTAACATGCATGTAGCAAATTGTATTTCTATTACAAATACTTCTAACAATTTATCTTTAAACAACATCAATACACTTATTTGATAATTCAGTGAAAACCACATGATAACAGCCTGATCAAAATATAAAGTTTAATATTTGCGCAAACCTATAAAATGGCCTTCTTAATCTAAGGAAAGTACTTCCAAATATTCGCCAGTTTACATTAGACAACATAAAGTTATTTGTAAATTGCAGTCAAAATTGTAGATACTCGACTAAGTACTTATAATTTTGATAAGAAACTGAAACTTAAACTGAACTAAAACGGTAAAGTACCGAGTATTATTCAAATTGCATCAATCATTTTAGAATACAAGCCTAGAGTGACCTAAAAATACGCACTGAATTCCGGTCAAATATTATATTTCAAACTGTTACGCGAGTATAAAAAGTTTTCATCTACTCGTTAGCACTTCAGTCATACGTGACTTCTATTTTTAATAACATGTAGAACGATTAGCAGAGTGACTTGTAAACAACCCAATTTTTGCTGAAAGTGGGATACTCAGAGGTAAATAGTGCCCTGATCGTTCTTCCTCAAATATTTGAGGAAAGAAGGGTAATATAGAAACGCACAGTTGTTTAAAAAACAAATATATAACTAGAACCTTGACCATTAACGGAAAAAGGTTTTTTGAAATAAATAAAATGCTGGTCTGTAAATTCGTAATATTAGCAAATTTAGACTATCCAGACTTCCGCCTCTGCTAAGGATGAATAAGACTTGTACGTACCACTCGATTTGATACATACTACGAAAACGATGTGCCAAAAAACTTTGTTACGTTAAAATGAGGTGGTATATTCATTTCATTGCTCATTCATTAAATTATTTGAATTCTTGGCAAAATGCAATATTTTGAAGCTCAAATAGATGTGGGGACTATTTTTGGATTGTATTAACCATACTACATTTATGGCTAAACTTTATGTATCACCGGAAAAAAGGGAAACTTCGCTGATTCAATTCAAATACACCAACAATCTTCTGATTTTAGAGACTGACCTGATTTTCATTTATTCTTCTTAAGTTCAGAACACAATATAATTCACAACTGTGCTCAAATGATTCTATTTTTCCTACATGTATAGTTTATCGACAGAGTTTACGGATACAGAAAAAGTGAAAATATAAACAATTCCTTCTCCAAAAATTTTGGTTTGGCTCTACTAAACATTTTCCAAGTGCTCATTGAAGAGCAAATATCTTCTACGGAGAATCTTGTTTTTTTTTCAAAACATTTTTCCGTCCTCGCTAAATAAGCACCCTTAAAATAATAACGCTAATTTTCAATCACTCTATATAAAAGCTGATTCAAATCTAGCACTATTCTCTGGCTTATAGGCTGAAGATGCACGGAAAAAATAATTGGTACTCAAAACGGAGATAATGTACCATAAAACCACATGTAAATAAGCTTTACGATCATACATAACAGGAAAAGCGTAGTATAAATAATACCTTTTACCTAGTAATTTTCTAAATTGGCCTGCTGACCTCTTTTCCACACATGTTCGGCACTCACCGGGTTTACGAGAACATCACAAATTAGGTCGATTGCAGCTCTAACAAAATCTAGAAGATTGACGTCAATTTTGCATTTAATCACACTGTATTGTAGAGACTCAAATCCAATTCAAGAAATACCATAAAAAATGTTTGCCATTATTTGTATGCATAACATAATAAAATATGTGCAAGAGGCAAAAAATGCTGCAAAACCAATCAGATTTTAATGGTAAACATTTTTAAATTGGACTGCTTTTATATAATATGTGGCTCCTTAAGCCGAAAGACGAGACCAAATTTTAACTAAATGCCTTGTAATACAGTACAAGTTAAAAAGAAACTTTGAACACCCTATATACAGAAAAATGAGCGGCAAAATTAAAAGTTCAACAAGCCTCTTTGTGGCCGCTTTGAAGAATCTGAGTAAAGTGCATTGCATTTGGAAAAAAAACTGATAACTTTCCATTCATACAAAAATAAAAAAATGGTCTATTTCTCAAGCGCCTATCGTTAGTTAATCATAGAAAATTTGCAGATTATCATGTAAAAATATGAGTCAGGCCTGATTAAACGTTCATGATAAAAGTCGACGATTTTATTTATAGTACTATTTGCCAAGTCGTTTAACCCAATGGTACAAGACAGACTTGGCGAAAGATTCACCCATTGAGTAACACGAAGAAATGTGAACCCGCTGTAAAAAAGCTAGTTGGAAGTTATGGTAACATGAACGCGCCCACACCCTAGGACGGCAAGTTTCCAAATTCGACACCTTCTATTGTAATGCCGCAAGAATATGGGATGTGACTAAGCCAACCTACGTGGGAACGCAAATTTAATCACTATAATGTATTGATAAATTACTACCTTGCAGGTTTTTGTTTCGGATGAACCGAGCGATGATTATGGCAGCAACTGAAGCAGAAATGTAAATGTAGATCATGGACATCCGTTCAAACCGAAAAGTATGTAGTGCAGTGATATAAAGTGACGAAAAGCCTTTGTCACAGTGGGGTTAATAACCTCCTGACTCTTCCAATGCTCATATTTGGTCTTCAACATCTTTCTCCGATGCACGAACATCGACACAAAGCGAATGTGGGAATATTAAAGATAAAACCATATTTGCTTCGAATGAAGACAACTGAGACCTAATTTACAGTACGAACGGTAAATAACTAAAAATAATCTTCCACAAGAAATAAAACCTAAATTCAAAATATCAGGTGGGCTGGCAAAGCCTTGAAACAACAGTTGAAGACGGTAGACTCGTGAAAATTTTCCAACATGATTCAACACTAGACTCGTAAATGAACTGAGGCATGACCGCTTTGTACGTTCACAACAAGAAACTAATAAGGAACTTTTAGGGTCAACGGGTCAACTATCATCTGAGGTTTTATTAATAAAATAAGATATATTGCTTCAAAAAAAAGTTAACAGCCAGAAAACATGATTTTCAAGGGTTTGTTAACATATTGTAGAGCTTTTAGTGACGACTTATCTGGAACAGGTGGTTTTAAAATGAGATTATATCGTTTTCCAATTTGATCAGTTTTTCGTTTCTTTATTAGCAAACTTGTTAGGTTTTTTACATTCTATGTGGTGAAGAGTTACAATTCAAAAGCTCTCGAAGCACGAAGAGAGATTTTTAAGTTTATACAATTATTCACAAACATTTAGCAGTAAATACAACAAAGCTAGACCTCCCGCGGAGGAAACTCAACCGGTGTATTTTTTCCATTCAGAGTGTGACATTCTAGGTTCAGTTTACTTATCTCTGATAAAAGCATCGTTTAAGTTGTGTTCATCATAAATCATGTAAAAATCCGATATTGACAAAGTGTGCAGCAAAAGTGGTGTTTTGTACATGCATGCACAGACAATTAATAATCTAGATAAAGAGTCGGAGAGATAAAATATTGCACATACACATACTTTCAGAACCATAAATACGTGGTTTTTAAATCTGTAATAATATAAGAGTGCTTCTTTATGAAAAAATCAGACCCTTTCCGAAATCTGTTGCTGTGCTTTTGCTAACTAAATATTTTAACAATACAGAAAAAATATAATAAACTTTTCAAATACAACCTAAGTTGTGGTTCATAGCTTTTCCAACACAATATACCTCTAAAAATATATATTTGAATGAAATTATAACTATGTATATTTCTCCTAACGACATATTTGTGTACGAAGGTTCTACACAAATGTAAGTTTGTAGTTTATTATGTAGCTGATGATGTTTTGCTTTCACTCGACAATGTTATCTATTTTTACTGCAATTTTGCCACACCACAAAAACATGTTCTTCCGGAGATTCTAACAGTAAAAATAAGAAAAACGGGGCGAAAAATAACGTAAAAAATGTTTGTAATCTTCTCTTACAACTAATTAATTAAATACTGTTGAGTTAATTTAGCTCTAGAAACGTATTTTTTACTTCTTAACATTTTTCTTCTTGACCCCATACATCTTACCCCCTTTTCAAAGTTTTTGGTCGGATTTAATCCCATTTGCAAAAATACAACGTGTTAGTTCAAAAACACTAACAGTAGTAAATGTTGGATTACTCAAATTAAGACTCAGCTGCTTTTACACAAATCAGACGAAGTTCTCCCGAAAACTTTCAAATTAGACAAATCGAAAACTTTGATTCCTCCCAATTTTTGGTACTAAACAGGTCAAGATAACTATACATATAGGATGTTTCTCATATTTCTCATTATTAATGTTCATTGTATTAATTATATATTATATTAAGTATGTTAAAGTAAGTTAAATTATTGTGGAATTCATGGACAATGGAAGTGAAGGAATTAATCATTCACTTTATGTTTAATCAAAATTGTATTGAAAATAATAAAAACAATAGTAATATTAAAAATCATCCAAAACTTTCTAAGTAAACTCAAGCTAGATATTGACTGTTAGAAGCCATTAGACGTAAATGTGGAAGTTAATCAAAAAACTATCAAAAATCAGTAAAAAGAGTGTAGGTTCAAAAACAGTAAATACATCAAAAAATAAAAGCACATAACCCAACAGAAAAAATGGCAAAGAAAATCACAGAACTGTAATAACAATTGACATGGACTATTTTTTTCAAATGAAATGTATATAAAATTAAATTTTTCCTACATGAAAAACGATTAAAAATATTCTAAATTGATATCGAAAAGCCATTTCAACTTAAAAAGTTGCACATTTTGTATTGTTTATCAGCCATGAAATCCACAGTGCATAGGATCAATCAAAGAATATAATCATTTAGAAAAAAATGTTTTCAAGTGCACTTCTCAATAATTCAGCCTTCAGTTAGTTTTCACGTGTTTAAATATCAACCACGGTTTATTTTGATATAATTTGGCTACTCATTGACGTAATTTAATGCGTTAACATGCTGGTCGAATGTGGTTTGTTTCTGCTTTTTCTTCTAAGAACAATACCCGCGACAATCATAACAGCCACTTTTTAAATCACTCCTACAATGTCTTCATGGTCTTCGAATTTCGTTACGCTTACACCGTTAGGTTTAGTTAACTCGTAATTAAAAATACATTTAAAACAAACTAGTGCGATTAGTTTTATGCAGGATGTGTCAATTCTTTTGTTTGGGCCTTGGTTTTATGGAGTGATGCCGAACTTGGAGGAATAAATTTTTATCGAAAATATATTCAATTTTTTTGCACTAGTTATCAATATACAATATTTACTTTAAACCTTGCAGTAGATTGCATTAAATTTAAGTTGAAATAAATTAAATTCCTCAAGTCGAATTCGGTAATGCTTGACCGCGTTTGTGTGTACGTTTCTTTGCAGCATACCGTTACGTTTAACTAACAGGAATCACTGATGCATTAAATACTTTGATACACGATATCTGTTGAAACATGCAAATACCTACTGCTATCAGTATGGGAAATGACATAACCGCAGAAAGTAGAACGAGAATTGATAACTGTCGCATAGATTCAACGCAATTTAGCTTATTTGACTATCTACCGTAAAGTAGACTAATAGTTGATTATCGCATTAAACAAATACTTCTCAAACGACGATTAAAATATTTCAAATTTCATAATAAATAGTAACAAAACGGCCGCTGCTTCCAAAATTATACTTACTCAACGTTTATGAAGGCTCTTAACAAAATATTGAAAGGTTGCGATTGAATACCTGAAACAAAAAAAAACACTTAAAGAAAACCCAAATTACTTTCGATCACATATCAAATAAGGTACAATGAGCAAACGTTAATAAAGAGCAAATGTAGGTATACATTAAAATAGGGAAGCAATTGATAATATTCTAGAAATTAACACTATTTTGTGTTGTGTGTTTCCACACAGCCAATCTTCCACACATCCGTTTTCTAAAAAGCCGCTAATTCAATTGGCATGTCATCCTAACGGTAACTTTAAAACAAAGTCTAATTATTGTAAAACGAAGAAAGAAAACGCCAACTGACATAAAATGAATCATATCCTGGTTGGAAAGTTGATACGTAGTGTGAGTAACGAGAGTCCATTAAAATCGGTTGTCTATTTTCTTGTACTGGTCAAGGTTTAACTTAAAACCGTTCAAATACTCCACTATGATAAGTGTTGCAAACATTTAGCTTGATAAGAAAAGTTAAGTGCCGATTAACACGCAACACATTCTCAAAAATATGTTTCTGTTTAATTGAGCCGAAAAAATTCACCTTTAGTGTTAAATCAATTTAGAAGTCGCTTTGTACTGTACCGATCATTATAGTACTTGGAATCGGTAAAGATAACAACGCTCTAATGTAGAAACAAACACGTAATGAACTAAATGACTACAATTTGGCTACATAGATAATGAACCATCATTTTTTTAGAATTAAAATTAATATATCATACCGGTTTTAATACTTAATCCCAAAATATTTTATCCGAAACATTAAAACACTGGAATCGATGAGGCTCAAAAAGGTAGGTACCTATTTCAAAATTAGAAAACAAACCCACACGGAACAGTTATTTTAGTGATCATGCAGTGATCGAATTATTCAGAACAAAGTCTATAGTTGGAAATGTGATTTATTACCTTTGAGCAAATATATATTCCAATAAAATTCTACAAAAATGCAATATATATTTATCATTGCCATGTAGATGTATTATAATCTCGAATGTACCGACAATTCTTGCTTGATGTCGACACAGAAAACGAAATACATTTATATTATTTGCTTAGAGTAACCCGTTGATATTGAAATGAACTAGTTTCTTGTATGGACTCAGAAACTAGTAATTCCTAAACCAAAAATATCTATTCGATTTTGTATCGTTAGAAAAGTTGAAGATCAAGAAATTTCAATCCCATATTCAAATATTAGGATTGGACAATAATTTAAAATGTAATACGCATATCAATCTCTTATAGTCAAAAATGCGTAAACGAAGCTACTTTTTCAACCAGTTGCAAGATATCAAAATAATGATATATAAATCTTCAGACGAATCAGCTCTAAAATATGGGATAGAATTTTGGGAATAAACGTATCAAACAAATTAAAAGCCGCTGAAAATCGCTCAAAATTTTTTACTTAACTCTTTTTGGAAAACCAAGTAAACCTGTATGGCGCAAAAAAATTGTACCAAGAACTTAATATCTTTAATAGTAATTCTCTATACATATATCGAATCCACAGTTATAAATACAAAGTTGAACTTAACAATTTTAAAAATCATTCAACAAGAAGCTTAAGGAGCCCGGACCTGAGTCGTCACAAAATATGCAAAAAATTCAGTTACGTTACACTGGTCCAAAACTGTTTAATGCCGTACCAACAGGGCTGGTAAAAAATTAGGTTGGGCAAAAATTTTTTATTGTTTGTTGAACAAAACTTGCATCTTTTGTTGAGCCTTTTGTACTCATAAAATAGATTGAAAATTTAAGTAACTTAATCTGAATTTGGAAATGAAATTGTGTGGAGAGTATACTGTGTGTTTATGTAATTTAATCACATCTCAATAGAGAGTTATTGGACGGTCAATAAGGGCAAGCAGTAATAGAGTCAGTGGTATTTTGACACATACGCCCGCGCATTAAGTCTAAAAATAAGGGATCCTTTAATAAGGATACTGGTCTTTGCTAATTGTGCAGCGATACCGTACAGCTTTATTTCTACCTTAAACTGGCAGTTGATAACTAACGGTCTTTTGCAGATCATTGCACTCTACATACATAACTTAGTTTATATTTATACACTTCCAATAAAATCCAAATTCCTTTGCCTTTGCTTTTTAAATTGAAATATTTTTTTACATTACAATTTTTCAATTACGTCACTTGTCTGCAATGTACAATTGAAGAAGCAGTTGATATATACCTAACGAATGCGAAAGTGACATTTTACTGCACACTGTTTGCGTGTAATTTTGAAAGATCATTCATTGGTTTTACTCTACAGTGTGCTGTAAAGGACGTTTATTTGAATGTTTGTTTATAATAAATGCCTTATAAAACTTTCGGATTCATTAAACTTTTAATACAATAAAATAATAAAATACTGCAATCGCCCTGTCCGCGCCGAATCCCTTAAATTGAATTGTTCTGGACATCATCCACTTCTGCGTTTTTCTACATCATTTAATTAGTTGATCTTTTATTTATTTGCCGCTTTGTGATAAAGAAATCAATATAGGAATCATCACCGATAAAAAGAGTTTAATTAAGGCAAACAGCTCTAATTTTAAAATAGATTTGTTAATGTTGGTAGTTTTTTTTGCGTCCAAAAAAACTGCTGCTCCTCCGAATTTTGAAACATAATAGCTTTCTTCTAAGTGCGCTATAATTCATCTTTAGTACAAAGTATAATTTAATTCACAGGCGCCTTTTATAACACTTATATCATCGTTTCGCGCTTAATTCCAAGTAGAAAGATCATCATTTGCGTCAACATTTAGTTTATGCGGAAACAATGTTCTATCTTTCGAAAATCTCGTCTTATCTCTGTAAGAGATAAGATCTGTCTGTTCTTACCTTTCTAGTAAGTAGGTACTCGCCAAATTCGACACAATGTATGTTATGAGTGAACATTATTAATATTTTCTGTATAAAACCTGCATTTATTTCCTACATCTAAATATTTTACCATTGCAGTAATCCTTTCTTAAATATAAACCAACCAACTTTTAAACAACAAAGATTTTCAGGTTACTGCAAACATTAGCCGCGTGATTTGTGTTAATGTGGACATTAGCCATTTAAAGTCCAAATAGCGCTACGAATCAACCAATATTGAGACATTAAGAAAATAGGCCATCAAATCTCTACATTAATCGAATAATATTGAGATTGGCCGGTTTTCTTACCTGAATCGTAACATAATAACCATAAATCTCACCTGCACTCTTACCATAATATAACGGTTATACAAACAATCCAAAAGCGTACAACAACTTTTAAGAAATATGTAATGGGTTTGCCCAAACTGGTAGCTCGCGCAGTTTGTTATTGTTACAATTAAATAATCATTTTGAAAGTAATCCAGTAACAACAGTGATCCGAGATGACCCTAAAACACATGTTTCAATGTTTAACTGTCGTTTTCCTATTCCGAATCACGTAATTTGCTCGAGCGACGAACTTTGGAAGAGAAGGTTAAAAAAATTCAAGTGTTGTCAAGGTCGATTGCGTTATTTTATTCAAGAATTTTCAATTGTCAAAGATCGCTTTTGTCATGGAATAGCATATTTTATTATTACATTTACTGGATCGAGAGAACTTGCATAAATAAGCCCATAGAATTATAACATTAAAAAATTGCCCACTATGTATGCAATATCAGCAAAAACAGAAATAAAACATGTTTTCCATTTTGTCATTCACAAATTAACGTGTAGGTGTTCTTGTGGGTATTTCTTTTAAATTTGCTTTGTATACTACCCGTTTAAGATTAGTTTAATTGCAAAATAAATGCAGTATTACATGCAAGTTCTCGCCGTAAAACGTTTGAAGCTTATTCCAAATAGTACAACATCGTTAATAACACGATTAATTGTAGGAAATATGCATGTTTGCAGTGTTATTACCAGTTAATAATGTTATAAATTCGTTTGAAATTGAGTAAAACGTTCTTGAGTTGACTGACTCATATTATGATGTCATCGTACACAAAGATATATGGACCATATAATACAATTCATAATTCAAAACACAACATTTGTGGTAACGTGGAAAAATAATAGAAATATTCATGGATTATGGAATGAAAATTACAGCATTTATTAAAGTGGTTTAGTTTGAACGACCGATATGAATTTTGTTTATATACTTTATCCGTGATTTAGCTTTTCATGTTTAATTATAAATTATATTATTGATGCGACACAGACATTCAAGGAATAAAAGATGTGTTCTAGATGGCGAACACAGTGAGCACAAACAGGTATAAAACTAAACATAATAATATTGTAAATAAAATAATAATATACAACTTTGCTCTCACATAGTTAATGCAAATATTATTTAAACTTAAACTAACTTATATTTAGAAGATTAGACAAGCCATATTTACATATAAAATCAGATATAGACAATAACAATACGAATTTATTTATATTTGAACACGTTTATAAAATCATAATAATTTAGAAAAAAGTTTTGAGCTAGGGTAAAGTTTTGCTTTTGCTGATTAAAAGTGCTACTCTAAAAAGTATTAGTAAGTCATTCATCAACATAAAACTCTCGCATGCAGTCAACTTGAACAATATTACAACACGCAAGTCAGCCCGCTTTTCATTTCAGTTTATTGCAGATCTTATATCTGCGATCGCTCCATAGATTCCGTTCTCTATTGATATAAATAATTAATCAATGGGGTTTTATACATGACTCAGGTTTCGTTTGACTCGACCGGGTTGTACGTTTTAGATAAATTAAGTAAAATGTTGCAATCTTTTAAAATATGACAAAGTTACAGTTAATTTAGTCACAGGTTTGCTAATTGGCCGAATAACTTCAACTTTCACCTAATGTCCGAAAAATCCTAATTATTGCAATATTCTTTTTATAAGCATATTGGGGGATTTCAAGTTACATGCTACTGTCATTGTTCATACATTATCTTGATTTTACAACTTTTTAATTGAATTTACTGTTTTATTCGCCTCATTAAAATTTAACGTTTCCATCATATGTTTGAA